CACTACCTCCGTGATGTAGCCTTGGAAGATGTCACAAGCGTTCACAGTTTTGGTCCCTGGTTGTAGCCCAACAGGTCACCTATCACCGACGCCAGTGATTCTCCGATACCCTGAACGGGGCCTGTCGACCTCTCTGGTGTTTATCACCCCAGACAAGACTGCTCTCATGTGTTCCGCATTCGCTCTTAGGTCAGTTTTAGTTTTTGGCTTACCGCCTCATTCTATTTCTGTCACCTATCAGGGTTTTACTTTTTGCATCAACTCTCGTTTCCTGACGACAGGAATGGTAGCAGATGTTGACACCGACGCCGACGCTGACGCCAATGCCGCCGATACCCAGAGCAGTGCCCGTCGAACTCTCTAGTGTTCCTCACCTCCAGACAAGAGGGCTCTCATGCGTTTCGCATTCGCTTTTGGGAATGGTCGTAGATATTTCCCACAACGCCACTGATTCTTCGATACCCTGAGCGGGGCGTGTCAAACTCTCTCGTGTTTATCACCTCAGATTAGAGAGCTCTACTGCGTTTCGCTTTCACTCGTAGGTAAGTTCTAGTTTTGGGCTACCCGCCTCATTCTATTGCGGTTGCCTATTCAGGTGTTTCCTTTTTGCATCGACTTTTGTTTCCTGAAGACAGGAATGGTCGTAGATGTTCCGATCATCACTTGTATGAGGTGCGGATTCATCGGACCTTGACGAGGGTTTATTATAGATCACATCTGAAGGTATGCCCACCGACCATGCTGTCTGATAAAGATGCAATACAGAGTAATGCAGGATAAGTTAAAAAATTTTTAGTAAAATCTAAATATTTTTTACATTTGTATACTTATCCAGCATTACGAAGTCTAAGGGACCTCCCTTCGCTACGCTACCTCCCCACAAAGTTTCAGATGTTATGTTTAAAAAAGTTATGTGTTTTGATATGACGTCATGACTTCCGGGTCACGTGCCCACTGTGAAAGAGGGCCCTGCTTCCTGTACTGGTTGGAACAACTTTCTTCAGCAGCTGGCTGTCACACAGTTCGTCTTTCTGTCAAAAGACAGCAGTAAATGCAATACGGAGTAATGCAGGATAAGTATACAAATGTAATAAATATTTAGATTTTACTAAACTGGTAGACTGAGGATTCTGAGCAGCTGTGACAGAGGTGTGTTGATTGCTGGTGTCAAAGTCAATAGATGATCATCGCTTACAGAAATTACTAACAACTTCAATGAAAACAGGCCTCCTACTGTTTTCAAGAAATAAGTTATATAAAATAAATTACAAACTCAACATCCAAATTCAGTCACTCACATGGCCAGCACAGTCTCCACATATGAACATCAGAGAAAATATTTGGCTTTGTATCAAAAGAGAGATGACAACATGTTTTCATAACATTGACACTACCAGAGATCTGCAAGAAGAGAATTGTGACATTTAGGAATCTTTGACTGTTGATTACATTAAATATTTATACATGAGCATTCCACGCAGGATTTTGAGAGTATACACAACAAAGGGTTACACCACAAATATTAGGTATGACAGTTTTATATTTTGTCTTTGGCAAGCAACAAATAGAACAATTTACACTTCCAGGTTCGTGACATGACTCAAGTGTCCCTTAGTTAACGCATGGTACCGTATATGAATTTTATCTGGACAAGTACTGCTTGAGCTTATCTTCAGTGCAATTCAAGTGATTTCAGCTGCCTCTATTTATTTAAAGTTTTGTTAGATTATATGATAAATAGGTTTGTCTTTTATGCACATATTTAAAAGGATAATTGGTCTATCATATCAAGATGTTACATATGCAGTTTGCCAAGCGTTCCTCAACTCCGACACTGCCTGAGCCTACAGATCCCCCAGTGGTGAGACAATACTTCAGGCTCTATATTTGAAGGTGCTCAGTAGATTGGTCATTTTGGTGGATCTTTGTAGTTGAAGGATGTCAAGCATAGTGTCATCTGCATAACAGTCTTCGGTTGTAGTCAAAGGAATCCTTGTGGATGATCTTGGTGATTGATGTCATACATGTCATGCATACAAATGTTTTCAGTGTGACAATCTCTGACTGTAGTCATAGCATTCTGTGTAGATATTCTTGAGTTTTGAAGTCCTGTATTTTTTAGGCTTACAAATGTCTTCAGAACAACCATCGCTGACTGTAGTCATAGCATTCTGTGTAGATGATCTTGAGTTTTGAAGTCCTGTGTTTTAGGCTTACACATGTCTTCAGAACAACCATCTCTGACTGTAGTCATAGCATTCTGTGTAGATGACCTTGAGTTTTGAAGTCCTGTATTTTAGGATAACACATGTCTTCAGAACAACCATCTCTGACTGTAGTCATAGCATTCTGTGTAGATATTCTTGAGTTTTGAAGTCCTGTATTTTAGGCTAACACATGTCTTCAGAACAACCATCTCTGACTGTAGTCATAGCATTCTGTGTAGATATTCTTGAGTTTTGAAGTCCTGTATTTTAGGCTAACACATGTCTTCAGAACAACCATCTCTGACTGTAGTCATAGCATTCTGTGTAGATGACCTTGAGTTTTGAAGTCCTGTATTTTAGGATAACACATGTCTTCAGAACAACCATCTCTGACTGTAGTCATAGCATTCTGTGTAGATATTCTTGAGTTTTGAAGTCCTGTATTTTAGGCTAACACATGTCTTCAGAACAACCATCTCTGACTGTAGTCATAGCATTCTGTGTAGATATTCTTGAGTTTTGAAGTCCTGTATTTTAGGCTAACACATGTCTTCAGAACAACCATCTCTGACTGTAGTCATAGCATTCTGTGTAGATGATCTTGAGTTTTGAAGTCCTGTATTTTAGGCTAACACATGTCTTCAGAACAACCATCTCTGACTGTAGTCATAGCATTCTGTGTAGATATTCTTGAGTTTTGAAGTCCTGTATTTTAGGCTAACACATGTCTTCAGAACAACCATCTCTGACTGTAGTCATAGCATTCTGTGTAGATGATCTTGAGTTTTGAAGTCCTGTATTTTAGGCTAACACATGTCTTCAGAACAACCATCTCTGACTGTAGTCATAGCATTCTGTGTAGATGATCTTGAGTTTTGAAGTCCTGTATTTTAGGCTAACACATGTCTTCAGAACAACCATCTCTGACTGTAGTCATAGCATTCTGTGTAGATATTCTTGAGTTTTGAAGTCCTGTATTTTAGGCTAACACATGTCTTCAGAACAACCATCTCTGACTGTAGTCATAGCATTCTGTGTAGATATTCTTGAGTTTTGAAGTCCTGTATTTTAGGCTAACACATGTCTTCAGAACAACCATCTCTGACTGTAGTCATAGCATTCTGTGTAGATGATCTTGAGTTTTGAAGTCCTGTATTTTAGGCTAACACATGTCTTCAGAACAACCATCTCTGACTGTAGTCATAGCATTCTGTGTAGATGATCTTGAGTTTTGAAGTCCTGTATTTTAGGCTAACACATGTCTTCAGAACAACCATCTCTGACTGTAGTCATAGCAATCTTGGTAGCTACTCCTGATGATAGATGTCATTCTGATCACAAATGTTTTAGTATGACAATCTCCGTGAGTAGACATAGCATTCTGTGTAGATATTCTTGAAGATACATGTCATAGCTTTAACTTATAATCTCTTGCAGATTTTGTAGATGTTCTTAAAGTTGATGTCATACCTATTACAGATGTCTTCAGTAGGAAAATCTCCATTCTTGATACTACAATCTAAATATCTAAAGACCCTGCATAACGTTGGGCATTCCTCCACCCACAAACTTACATGCTGTGATATAACTTGAATACTGTTAAAATCTATGTTAAACCCAACTCACTCACAATGTTATGTTGTATATTATCATCATATCACAACAAGTGTTGAATAGGTTATCAATGTATGCATTTCTGGGTAATATGATAATACCAGTTTTCCATTGTCAAGCCATCTAAGTGCATTGTGTGGTCGCGTGCGTACATGCGTGTGAGGGTGAGTGGGTGCATGGATGTGCATGTATGCATATGTGTGTGGTCTGTCTGTTACATAAATAACGTGCAATGGTGTATAAATACCACATGGCACTTCCTTGACCATGCACTAGGAGACCAGTTTGGTGCACTGATTGACAATGTGTATCAGTGCTATGTGACAATTGAACTGTTTTTGCTTCATGCACATGTGTTCTTATGAAGATTGTATGCTTTTCTTACAATTCTCCTTCTTACAAAGGTCCACTGGAATACAGGTCAATGAGGCTGAAGTATTACAAAACTTAGAACCTTATTTTAAGCTTAGCAGAAGTAAGCAGATGATTTTGCATTTTGTCTTTCACATGTTTTGTTAATGTCATGAAATATAAGGTAGGGTGTTTTATATAAAAATGTTTATTTGATTTGCTCATAGCTTGGACAGAAATCCTTTTTATATTGCATATTTGGTCAATATCAGTCATGTCAGAAGACACTTGAAAGTGACTAAAACTCGTCTGGGTCAGGTTTCCAGGCAAGAACTTCAGCGAATAATAATACCATCTGATCATCTGATATTTCTGCTAAACTGGATTAAGACAAACTTCCTTCAGAAGACCAATCACCTGCACATGTCAGTATGAGGGATAACAGTGGCAAGGAAAATGTCCATTTGACCAGGATTTCAAAAATTCTTTTTCATTATTCATAATTTGCTACATGTTTGATTCAGTTAGGTTAATGTCAACATGTTTGGAACGGCAACAATGGAATGAAAGCGCTCTCAGTATTGGTATTTTGGTATTTGATAAAGTTGGTTAATATTATGAGTTTCACAGAGACTTGAAGGAGTCAATCCAATACATTTTATGTGATTATATGGTTTGTTGTTTATCTGTATGAAACCAGGACTTTGTATAATTGAATCTTCGATGTTGCTTTTGGTATCATCTATCTCTGTGGTGAGCTGTTGTATCTCCAGAAGCACCTGCTGCTGAAAGTTACCAGTGTGTTATTGTATGAGGGTTGTGTTCCAGGAAGGAGATGACAAGTTGGATGCGTCCCTCACTGCACCACGGATGTTTCTCACCTTTGACAGTAAGTATGTTGTAGGTCATATACTTTTTCATTTGAAAAGTAAATTCTATTTTTTTTCATTAAAAATCCTGATTATCAATATTTAAACTGGACAGTTGTTTTATATCTTCATAAATATTCAGAATTATTGATAATACTGATGACGCTTGTGTCTGCTGATTGGTCCTGTTGAAGTTATTGTGGGGCTGTGCGGTTCATTGCTGCAGGCATGTATCATTGATAAAGTTGTTGTGTATAATAATATATATAATAAATATTTAATAATAATAATAATAATAATAATACAAGTTTATACGTATTGGGCCAGAATGGGAGTTTGTTTGAGAATCTAAGGTTTCGGGCTGGTTGATATAATCTATGTTTAGTCCATCAAGTAGGCAGGTACCCTTCCATGGTAACATCGATAGGCTATACACAGCACCTTTAATTGGTTTCTTGCCTCAGCTGGAAGCCAGTGCAGGGACCTTAAGGCTGGAGTGATGTGGGATATTGTGTGACATCCATCAGTAGGTCTTGCCACTGCATTCTGTACACGTTGGAGATTCCTCAGTTGTTCATATTTTATATCAGATGATTGTTTCTGTAGTCCATTCTTGATAGTATCAATGAAAACACAAAAAACAACACAGTTAGGCTAACTTTTCCAACATCAGTGCTATATGACAGATCATCAGTGACACTTAACAGACAGTTTCCTCATTGATACTTGTCATGAAGTTGAAAACGGTCAAGGTGAGTTATTTGATTCTGAACAGTCTGTTCCTGAACGTTTACAAGAAGTAGAAGACATAGGTTTGCCTGACATGTATTAACTCCTCTCCCAGAGTCCTACAAGTACCAGCTGAGAGCCTACATCTACCAAGCCCGGGACCTCCTGGCAGCTGACGACTCCGGACTCTCAGGTAAAGTAAACTCTCCCACACAATTAACCCGAACTACTGCTGTTCTGAGTGTACTTAACTTTGTCGAAGGTACTTATTTTGAAAACTATTAATGATTTCTTCTGACTGTCCAAATAAAAAAAGACTTGATAATTACAGCTCTGAATCAATTATTTTTATTGAGGCATATCAAGAAATCACTCATGTCCTTATCCTTACATCAGTACTCTGTATCCTAATCCTTACATCAGTACTCTGTATCCTAATCCTTCCATCAGTACTCTGTATCCTAATCCTTCCATCAGTACTCTGTATCCTAATCCTTACATCAGTACTCTGTATCCTAATCCTTACATCAGTACTCTGTATCCTTATGCATACATCAGTACTCTGTATCCTTATGCATACATCAGTACTCTGTATCCTAATCCTTATCCTTACATCTGTATCCTAATCCTTACATCAGTACTCTGTATCCTAATCCTTACATCAGTACTCTGTATCTTAATCCTTACATCAGTACTCTGTATCCTAATCCTTATCCTTACATATGTATCCTAATCCTTATCCTTACATCTGTATCCTAATCCTTACATCAGTACTCTATATCCTAATCCTTACATTGGTACTGTCTTAATCCTTACGTCAGTACTCTGTATCCTAATCAGTACTCTCTTCAAAGAAATGTATAGGAGAACATATTGGAAGTGTATTCAAATCCTACAATTTAGAAGGCACTTCATTGCATCAAGGACATGACCAACATTTGAAGGGTGTTGGCTGACATGTTACAAATATAATCTGTCACTGAAGTATTTGCTTGTTACTGTCAGTATTAATAATGACTGTGTTATTTGTGCAGATCCGTTTACCCGAGTGTCCTTCCTGACACAGAGCATGGTGACTGAACGTCTACACAAAACCCTCTGCCCCACCTGGGATCAGACACTCATCTTCGGGGAAATCGAAGTGTATGGAAACCCCAAGGGGATTGAATCTCAGCCTCCAGATATAATTCTGGAACTATTTGATCATGACACATTTGTAAGTATGCAACCTTCTTCTGTACAGAGAATCATTCCATTCTCAGCTCTAGCCTGTACTCATCCTATCTTCAGCTCTAGCCACCTGTACTCATCCTATCTTCAGCCCTAGCCACCTGTACTCATCCTATCTTCAGCCCTAGCCGCCTGTACCCATCCTATCTTCAGCTCTAGCCACCTGTACTCATCATATCTTCAGCCCTAGCCACCTGTACTCATCCTATCTTCAGCTCTAGCCACCTGTACTCATCCTATCTTCAGCCCTAGCCGCCTGTACTCATCCTATCTTCAGCTCTAGCCACCTGTACTCATCCTATCTTCAGCCCTAGCTGCCTGTGCTCATCCTATCTTCAGCCCTAGCCACCTGTACTCATCCTATCTTCAGCTCTAGCCACCTGTACTCATCCTATCTTCAGCTCTAGCCACCTGTACTCATCCTATCTTCAGCCCTAGCCGCCTGTACTCATCCTATCTTCAGCTCTAGCCACCTGTACTCATCCTATCTTCAGCCCTAGCTGCCTGTGCTCATCCTATCTTCAGCCCTAGCCCCCTGTACTCATCCTATCTTCAGCTCTAGCCCCCTGTACTCATCCTATCTTCAGCCCTAGCCGCCTGTACTCATCCTATCTTCAGCTCTAGCCACCTGTACTCATCCTATCTTCAGCTCTAGCCGCCTGTACTCATCCTATCTTCAGCTCTAGCCACCTGTACTCATCCTATCTTCAGCTCTAGCCGCCTGTACTCATCCTATCTTCAGCTCTAGCCCCCTGTACTCATCCTATCTTCAGCCCTAGCTGCCTGTGCTCATCCTATCTTCAGCCCTAGCCCCCTGTACTCATCCTATCTTCAGCCCTAGCTGCCTGTGCTCATCCTATCTTCAGCCCTAGCCCCCTGTACTCATCCTATCTTCAGCCCTAGCTGCCTGTACTCATCCTATCTTCAGCTCTAGCCACCTGTACTCATCCTATCTTCAGCCCTAGCCGCCTGTACTCATCCTATCTTCAGCCCTAGCTGCCTGTACTCATCCTGTCTTCAGCTCTAGCCCCCTGTACTCATCCTATCTTCAGCCCTAGCCGCCTGTACTCATCCTATCTTCAGCTCTAGCCCCCTGTACTCATCCTATCTTCAGCCCTAGCCGCCTGTACTCATCCTATCTTCAGCTCTAGCCACCTGTACTCATCCTATCTTCAGCCCTAGCCACCTGTACTCATCCTATCTTCAGCCCTAGCCGCCTGTACTCATCCTATCTTCAGCTCTAGCCACCTGTACTCATCCTATCTTCAGCTCTAGCCGCCTGTACTCATCCTATCTTCAGCTCTAGCCACCTGTACTCATCCTATCTTCAGCCCTAGCCGCCTGTACTCATCCTATCTTCAGCCCTAGCTGCCTGTGCTCATCCTATCTTCAGCCCTAGCTGCCTGTGCTCATCCTATCTTCAGCCCTAGCTGCCTGTACTCATCCTATCTTCAGCCCTAGCTGCCTGTGCTCATCCTATCTTCAGCCCTAGCTGCCTGTACTCATCCTATCTTCAGCCCTAGCCCCCTGTACTCATCCTATCTTCAGCTCTAGCCCCCTGTACTCATCCTATCTTCAGCCCTAGCTGCCTGTAATCATCCTATCTTCAGCCCTAGCTGCCTGTGCTCATCCTATCTTCAGCCCTAGCTGCCTGTACTCATCCTATCTTCAGCCCTAGCCCCCTGTACTCATCCTATCTTCAGCTCTAGCCCCCTGTACTCATCCTATCTTCAGCCCTAGCCGCCTGTACTCATCCTATCTTCAGCCCTAGCTGCCTGTACTCATCCTATCTTCAGCTCTAGCCCCCTGTACTCATCCTATCTTCAGCCCTAGCCGCCTGTACTCATCCTATCTTCAGCCCTAGCTGCCTGTACTCATCCTATCTTCAGCCCTAGCCGCCTGTACTCATCCTATCTTCAGCCCTAGCCGCCTGTACTCATCCTATCTTCAGCCCTAGCCACCTGTACTCATCCTATCTTCAGCCCTAGCCCCCTGTACTCATCCTATCTTCAGCCCTAGCCGCCTGTACTCATCCTATCTTCAGCTCTAGCCACCTGTACTCATCCTATCTTCAGCTCTAGCCGCCTGTACTCATCCTATCTTCAGCTCTAGCCACCTGTACTCATCCTATCTTCAGCTCTAGCCCCCTGTACTCATCCTATCTTCAGCCCTAGCCCCCTGTACTCATCCTATCTTCAGCTCTAGCCCCCTGTACTCATCCTATCTTCAGCCCTAGCCGCCTGTACTCATCCTATCTTCAGCCCTAGCTGCCTGTACTCATCCTATCTTCAGCCCTAGCCGCCTGTACTCATCCTATCTTCAGCTCTAGCCACCTGTACTCATCCTATCTTCAGCTCTAGCCCCCTGTACTCATCCTATCTTCAGCCCTAGCCGCCTGTACTCATCCTATCTTCAGCTCTAGCCGCCTGTACTCATCCTATCTTCAGCTCTAGCCGCCTGTACTCATCCTATCTTCAGCCCTAGCTGCCTGTACTCATCCTATCTTCAGCTCTAGCCCCCTGTACTCATCCTATCTTCAGCTCTAGCCGCCTGTACTCATCCTATCTTCAGCTCTAGCCCCCTGTACTCATCCTATCTTCAGCCCTAGCCGCCTGTACTCATCCTATCTTCAGCTCTAGCCGCCTGTACTCATCCTATCTTCAGCCCTAGCTGCCTGTGCTCATCCTATCTTCAGCCCTAGCCACCTGTACTCATCCTATCTTCAGCTCTAGCCCCCTGTACTCATCCTATCTTCAGCCCTAGCCACCTGTACTCATCCTATCTTCAGCCCTAGCCCCCTGTACTCATCCTATCTTCAGCCCTAGCCCCCTGTACTCATCCTATCTTCAGCCCTAGCCCCCTGTACTCATCCTATCTTCAGCCCTAGCCCCCTGTACTCATCCTATCTTCAGCCCTAGCTGCCTGTGCTCATCCTATCTTCAGCTCTAGCCACCTGTACTCATCCTATCTTCAGCCCTAGCCACCTGTACTCATCCTATCTTCAGCCCTAGCCCCCTGTACTCATCCTATCTTCAGCTCTAGCCACCTGTACTCATCCTATCTTCAGCCCTAGCCCCCTGTACTCATCCTATCTTCAGCTCTAGCCACCTGTACTCATCCTATCTTCAGCCCTAGCCCCCTGTACTCATCCTATCTTCAGCCCTAGCCGCCTGTACTCATCCTATCTTCAGCTCTAGCCACCTGTACTCATCCTATCTTCAGCTCTAGCCCCCTGTACTCATCCTATCTTCAGCCCTAGCCGCCTGTACTCATCCTATCTTCAGCTCTAGCCGCCTGTACTCATCCTATCTTCAGCTCTAGCCGCCTGTACTCATCCTATCTTCAGCCCTAGCTGCCTGTACTCATCCTATCTTCAGCCCTAGCCGCCTGTACTCATCCTATCTTCAGCCCTAGCCACCTGTACTCATCCTATCTTCAGCTCTAGCCACCTGTACTCATCCTATCTTCAGCCCTAGCTGCCTGTACTCATCCTATCTTCAGCTCTAGCCCCCTGTACTCATCCTATTTTAGTGATTCTTGATACTCAAGGGTCTAGATGCCAATATGCATCTCATTCTCAGCTCAAGCTTCTTATGCTCGTCCTATTCTTAATAAAAGCTCTCTCTACTCATCCCATTCTTAGCTCTAGCTGCCTATACACATTCCATTCTCAGCTCTAGCTGCCTATACACATTCCATTCTCAGCTCTAGCTGCCTACACACCTCCCATTCTTAGCTCTAGCTGCCTTTTGGCTAAAGAAATATTAATACTTGGTTCTCAGGCACTGCCTCATCTTCACAAGGGCCGCAGCACGTTTCGTTATTTTTCCATTTTAAAAAAACACCAGATCTTTAAATATTCCACGTCTCAAACACACGACCCAGGCAGTGAAATGCTACAATACTTACATTTACTTCTATTACATTCCTTTTCTCTATATTACTATTCTCAGCTGTAGCTGCCTATACTCATCCTATTCTCAGGTGTAGCTGTCTACACTGATCCATTTATCAGCTCCTGAAATAAAGGGACTTGAGTGTTCCCTGATAGAATGATTTCTATTGAACCTTATACACAACCATATTTCAGGGACAACATGTGAGACTAATGTATCAGGGATGCTGGTTGTTGATGACCCATTGTGTTTTTGGTTCCTAAAAGAGAAAAGAGGTCTAATATTCATATGTCATTGGCATGGAAATAACCCAATACCATAAGATTAGAAAAACCTATGTCATTATCCCATACTTCATTACCTCTGTTTGTACTGACACTGTATGTACATATGTAAGAAGAGAAAGGAAGTCAACACAACGCCTACATGAACACTATGCAGTTCCCCCCAATGAAATACCTCATTCCAGGGTTAAGATTGGTATTTTAACCATGCATCGTTTATTAGTAACATAACTTTCAACTTCTGAATCAATGATGATATTTATAAGAGGGCTACGTGATGCAGTGTCAACCATGTATGCCAGTGTATCCTGGCTGTAGCAGCAAGATGTTTTTCGCGCAGGGCTTAAAGTTGTTCTTATGTCATCCCAGGGTAAGCCTGAGTTCCTGGGGCGGTCCAAGGCACAGCCAATGGTGAAGCTAGACCCAGGAGATGCCCGCACACCAGTTCTGCAGTGGTATGAAATAAACCGTATGGGGCAGAAGGGAGGCGAGCTACTCGCAGCATTTGAGCTATTTCTGGTGAGTCGAACTTTGTGTTCATGATGCCTATGACCCATCTGCCTTGTCCTCTGATTTGGCTTACTCTTCTTTATCTGGGGTTTATAAATCCTCAAACACTCTAAGTTTGAAAGTTATATATGTATGTTCCACTTCATTATGACATTGCGTATTTGAATTAATAAAAAGTATAATTTGAACAGTGCTATATATCAAATATACGTCTATTCACATGAAAATGCTGTTGATATCATGCAGATATTTGTTTTCATTCCACCCAAGCTTCTGACCCACTGTGCATGCATGAAAGATGAAAAGTAACACACTGACACAAGCAGATGACAACATGTCATTCCTGCAGCAGTGTAGCAGAACACACTGACACAAGCAGATGACAACATATTCCTGCAGCAGTGTAGCAGAACACACTGACACAAGCAGATGACAACATATTCCTGCAGCACAGTGTAGCAGAACACACTGACACAAGCAGATGACAACATGTCATTCCTGCAGCACAGTGTAGCAGAACACACTGACACAAGCAGATAACAACATATTCCTGCAGCACAGTGTAGGAGAACAAACTGACACAAGCAGATGACAACATGTTATTCCTGCAGCACAGTGTAGCAGAACACACTGACACAAGCAGATAACAACATATTCCTGCAGCACAGTGAAGCAGAACACACTGACACAAGCAGATGACAACATATTCCTGCAGCACAGTGAAGCAGAACACACTGACACAAGCAGATGACAACATGTTATTCCTGCAGCACAGTGTAGCAGAACACACTGACACAAGCAGATAACAACATATTCCTGCAGCACAGTGAAGCAGAACACACTGACACAAGCAGATGACAACATATTCCTGCAGCACAGTGAAGGAGAACACACTGACACAATCAGATAACAACATATTCCTGCAGCACAGTGAAGCAGAACACACTGACACAAGCAGATGACAACATATACCTGCAGCACAGTGAAGCAGAACACACTGACACAAGCAGATGACAACATATTCCTGCAGCAGTGTAGCAGAACACACTGACACAAGCAGATAACAACATATTCCTGCAGCACAGTGAAGCAGAACACACTGACACAAGCAGATGACAACATATTCTTGCAGCAGTGTAGCAGAACACACTGACACAAGCAGATGACAACATATTCCTGCAGCAGTGTAGCAGAACACACTGACACAAGCAGACAACAACATATTCCTGCAGCACAGTGTAGCAGAACACACTGACACAAGCAGATAACAACATGTCATTCCTGCAGCACAGTGTAGCAGAACACCCTGACACAAGTAGATGACAACATATTCATGCAGCACAGTGAAGCAGAACACACTGACACAAAGCAGACAACAACGTGTTCCTGCAGCACAGTGTAGCAGAACACACTGACACAAGCAGATTACAACATGTCACTCATGCAGGACAATGTAGCAGAACACACTGACACAAGCAGATGACAACATGTCATTCCTGCAGCACAGTGTAGCAGAACACACTGACACAAGCAGATGACAACATATTCCTGCAGCACAGTGAAGCAGAACACACTGACACAAAGCAGACAACAACGTGTTCCTGCAGCACAGTGTAGCAGAACACACTGACACAAGCAGATTACAACATGTCACTCATGCAGGACAATGTAGCAGAACACACTGACACAAGCAGATGACAACATGTCATTCCTGCAGCACAGTGTAGCAGAACACACTGACACAAGCAGATGACAACATATTCCTGCAGCAGTGTAGCAGAACACACTGACACAAGCAGACAACAATGTATTCCTGCAGCACAGTGTAGCAGAACACACTGACACAAGCAGATAACAACATATTCCTGCAGCACAGTGTAGCAGAACACCCTGACACAAGCAGATGACAACATATTCATGCAGCACAGTGAAGCAGAACACACTGACACAAAGCAGACAACAACGTGTTCCTGCAGCACATTGTAGCAGAACACACTGACACAAGCAGATTACAACATGTCACTCATGCAGGACAATGTAGCAGAACACACTGACACAAGCAGATGACAACATGTCATTCCTGCAGCACAGTGAAGCAGAACACACTGACACAAGCAGATGACAACATATTCCTGCAGTGCAGTGTAGCAGAACACACTGACACAAGCAGACAACAACCTATTCCTGCAGCACAGTGTAGCAGAACACACTGACACAAGCAGATAACAACATATTCCTGCAGCACAGTGAAGCAGAACACACTGACACAAGCAGATGACAACATGTCATTTCTGCAGCAGTGTAGCAGAACACACTGACACAAGCAGATGACAACATGTCATTCCTGCAGCACAGTGTAGCAGAACACACTGACACAAGCAGATGACAACATATTCTTGCAGCACAGTGAAGCAGAACACACTGACACAAGCAGATTAGAACATGTCACTCATGCAGGACAATGTAGCAGAACACACTGACACAAGCAGATGACAACATGTCATTCCTGCAGCACAGTGTAGCAGAACACACTGACACAAGCAGATGACAACATATTCCTGCAGCACAGTGAAGCAGAACACACTGACACAAGCAGATGACAACATGTCATTCCTGCAGCACAGTGTAGCAGAACACACTGACACAAGCAGATAACAACATATTCCTGCAGCACAGTGAAGCAGAACACACTGACACAAGCAGATGACAACATGTCATTCCTGCAGCACAGTGTAGCAGAACACACTGACACAAGCAGATAACAACATATTCCTGCAGCAGTGAAGCAGAACACACTGACACAAGCAGATGACAACATATTCTTGCAGCACAGTGAAGCAGAACACACTGACACAAGCAGATGACAACATGTCATTCCTGCAGCAGTGTAGCAGAACACACTGACACAAGCAGATGACAACATATTCCTGCAGCAGTGTAGCAGAACACACTGACACAAGCAGATGACAACATATTCCTGCAGCACAGTGTAGGAGAACACACTGACACAAGCAGATGACAACCTATTCCTGCAGCACAGTGTAGGAGAACACACTGACACAAGCAGATGACAACATATTCCTGCAGCACAGTGTAGGAGAACACACTGACACAAGCAGATAACAACATATTCCTGCAGCACAGTGTAGCAGAACACACTGACACAAGCAGATGACAACATATTCCTGCAGCACAGTGTAGGAGAACACACTGACACAAGCAGATACCAACATATTCCTGCAGCACAGTGAAGCAGAACACACTGACACAAGCAGATGACAACATATTCATGCAGCACAGTGTAGGAGAACACACTGACACAAGCAGATGACAACATGTCATTCCTGCAGCACAGTGTAGCAGAACACACTGACACAAGCAGACAACAACATATTCCTGCAGCACAGTGTAGCAGAACACACTGACACAAGCAGATGACAACATATTCCTGCAGCACAGTGCAGGAGAACACACTGACACAAGCAGATTAGAACATGTCATTCCTGCAGCACAGTGTAGCAGAACACACTGACACAAGCAGATGACAACATATTCCTGCAGCACAGTGTAGGAGAACACACTGACACAAGCAGATTAGAACATGTCATTCCTGCAGCACAATGTAGCAGAACACACTGACACAAGCAGACAGCAACATGTCATACATGCAGGACAGCTAAAGTTATATTTGAGCTTTTCAATTTCATTGAATGCACAGATGACAGGGAAAGATTTGCCATTCCTTCCACCTAAAAAGGGCAGCTTGTACCTGGTACCAAATGGAATCCGTCCCGTCATGCAACGCACAGGCATTGAGGTAGGAATGTTATTTTGACATTGATGTTACAAAGTAGACACAATTTATGGACAACAACAACTTTAATACTGTAAAGGAGACATTTCGGTATAGATCCTTATACCATTTTCAAGCAAGACTGAATGAGGAACATTGTGCAGAATATATATAGTAGGTGGAAGATTAACAGTAATAACAATTGCATGCATGAGGAAGCTGATGTTAGTTAAAAGAACTGCTGTTGATAAAGACCATGAGCTGTATGTTGTGTTAAGGCATTGCTGTTTGTAAAGAACCTGGGAAGTGTATAACGTTGAGTCACAATACTGTGTCAGTTGTGAGAATGAAGATGGATGTTTGAACGAGTCTGTGTTCAGTTGTTGTACATACATCCACAGGCCTTGTGCTGGGGAGTACGCAACATGAAGAAGTTCCAGATGTCCAGTGTGTCGTCTCCAAGCATAGAGTTTGAGTGTGGTGGTCATGTTCTTAGCTCTGTCACCATCAAGGATACCAAGAAGAACCCAAACTTCTCTGAGCCGCTTTTATTCTTTGATGTGGTAGGTGCATTGCTTGAATTACTGTCTCCTGTGTGCCCTTCAGGCAACGTAGCCATCCACATTTCAGTCAATCTCGTAGCAAACTTCTGTAATTTGATTGCAAAGTGATCTCAAAGGTAGGCCTTATATAAACTGGTCATGGACCCCATTATACAAGAGTTTATTTTGGAGCTACATCTGTCATGTCTGTTGTAAATCCATGATAAACTAACAGAGTTATGACAGTGCGTTGTGAAACAGGACGTGGATTGCTTTATAAAGCCGCAGGCCCTGACTATACTCTTATACAACTACAGCTTATTGTGACAAATAAATCAACATGTAAATTTACTGCAGGCCATAAGGAACCATACAAATTTGTAACAAGGGGCCCGAAACAAGATCTACCTGCCACGGGCCTACAGGCCAGCACATATTTCGAACACTGCTCATATATCACACTGACACATGCTACCAAAAAATATACTTTTCTCTCTGATCATTTGAAATTTGTCATTTTTTATAATTTGAGTACCTTTTAAGAAAAAAGAATGTCTGTGTAAAGTTTGATTTTCTATCTGCTGCTGTCCATTAACAGATGCTGCCGAAGGAGGAACTGTACATGCCACCTATGAACATCCGTGTACGCGACCATCGACAGTTTGGTCGGAAGCCAAATGTTGGTGTGTATGTGTTGAGGACCATGGAGGACTTCCGCTGTGAGCCCTTGTTGCCAGCTGCAGATGAGGAGGAAGAAGGTAGGGAAGGTCAAGGTTATTCAAACATGCTCATATTCAAGTATGTGAAGATGCTGCAGTTAAATCATTTCTTACTCTTCATGGTCACTGTGTGAGAAGACGACAGTATTTTGTCATGTTGCAACTTTGACTTGTACCATGAGGATGATGGTGATGATGATGATGATGATGATGATGAGGATTATTATTATCATTATTATTACAAGTATGTAAATGTGAAATATGAACCATGTTAAAGAAGTAGGTAGACATTTCAGAAATGTTATTATGTTTGCAAGATTGATGGTTTTATGAAGCAGAAGGTTACAGCGTTTTGGGATGTCCTTGAACAGGTAGCATTGTGGGGAATGGTCCAGCTGGAGAGCATGTGGTTGACATGCCCCAAGAAGAAAAGCTGCCCAAGGTAAGCTTACATCAAGAGTCTGATCTATGTTTATGGTAGTATTGCATAAGATATTAATGTCATGATAGTAATAACAATAATATTCATCATATCAGCTGCCATATGTTGTAACAGTAGTGTTGCTGTGTTTGGTAGACCATGCAGTCCTGTGTTGTATGTAGTGTTGCCAAGTAGGCATGTCACATTGTTACCTCCCACTCTAGAGAGATCCTATCATCTACTACTCACACATTTGTGCCTGAGCTGTTCCTGTCCATACTCATTGTATATGTTGTCTGTCTCTACTCAGAAACCTTGGTTTAATAAACTGAAAAAGAAAGAGAAAGAAGAAGAGCCTGAAACACCGGTAGTTTTGAGTGCCTTTGGCACAAATATGTTGTTACCATTCTTTTCTAACAATTTAACATCTAATTTTTCAAGTATTTCTTAAAATATAAAATAGACTTTCCTTCATGTTTGAGTCCCATTTTTTGCACTTCATTTTCAAGTGATTTTTTTTTCTTGTCCACTTTTATTATTTCTCAACTTGACTGTAAATCCAAATGAACTCATCATCTGTCTGTCCATCTTCAGGTGCCATCAAAGGTTCATGTTATTCGATTGTGTTGTGAGATGGCAATTGTTAATTTTGACTAACATTGAAGACACCAATATTTGTTGTTTTGGTTCAGTAATGAATTGAACACCATGGGGTCTATATCTTGTGGAGCCATTTTTACAAATATGTTATTATTTTAACTTTCTTTTGCCAAATTGTAACTTCACCTCAAAGGGGATTTCAAGGCATTTTTATTGTATTTCAGTATGTTTTCGATAAAGTCCTGCATGATTGTTTTCATACATTTCTAGATTAAACAAGAACGAACAGTTAACAATGAATATTGTGTTATGCTTAAATTCACAATTCCAAATACAATATGGCCTCTCTCAACCATCTTATGTGCTGGTAATTTGAATGTCATTACCTTCATGTCTTTAATGAGCAACATATTTTCTCTGTAAAACTATATGATACTGTATACGATTTAGAATGTTTTTTTCTAATTACTTTCTGAATTTCAAACTTTCAGCTTTTGTTTAATAGTTAGAAAAGACATATTTTAGGTTATAACTATAGAAAACCAAACAATGAGGACATTATGATTGTAGTGCTGTATGTGTAGGCTGAAGTGTTTCAGGTTGATGCACATCAATGACACACCTGGAAGGATCTGGAAATGGCTCCTTACTTACTTACTTACTTACTTACTTACTTACTTACTTACTTACTTTGGAGATTTAACGTGCGCTTTCCGACTGATGCGTATTTCGCACACGGGCCTGGCCAGGCCATTTAATGTGTTTCCGAAAGGGGCGAAAGTGGTCTTTGCAACCCAAGAGTGAATGGCTCCTTATGCTGTAGCTCATTTATCAAATGTCAGATGTTCCCAAGATGTGTAACATGTTAACATTTTGATTATGTTCAATACATTGGCATCAATAATTGGTGTCAGTTATGTGGATGACCTCTGTTGGAGAGGGCTTTACCCAGAGGACAGCTTCAGGGTGACAACCAGCTACTCACCAGAATTGTTTTTCACCTTTGTCAGTTGTATTTGAACATATTGCTCACATGTTTTTTAGAAGCAGCCTCTTAAAGGAGTTATCAACAAAATTGGAACAACAATGGCGAAATTAGTGAAACGGGTAACAGTGGCATTATGTAGTTGAACTTGTCTGTTGTCTGGCTTCACTGGATGCCAAACATGAATGTTGCAGTCTCTCTCTAGCCTCTCTCTGTATTCTACAGTCACTGTCTGCAACATTGTACATGTATCTGTTTGTGTGATTGGAAGAGGAAACTTGTGTATTTTGTAATTACATGTTTATTCACCAAGCAAAATATTAGCTGAAATATATTGAATAATCCAATTTCTATGCTACCAAGTCATTGGTTTGTTTCTTCTATCTGCAAGAGAATAGTTCACAGGACAATCACCTCAGTGGGAGGGGCCACTATCCAGAGCTTGGTTCAATATGTTAGCTTTGAAGCATGGAAGGTAGTGGTGTTTGGCAGGAAAGGACGTTAGTAGTAGAAGCAACATATTGTCTAGTACAGTAGATGTAGTATTTGCACAGCATGGCATCAGTGTAGAACATGATGGATACTGTAGCCTGTTAGCATCAGTGTAGAACATGATGGACACTGTAGCCTGTCAGCATCAGTGTAGAACATGATGGACAGTGCAGCCTGTTAGCATCAGTGTAGAACATGATGGATACTATAGCCTGTTAGCATCGGTGTAGAACATGATGTATACTGTAGCCTGTTAGCATCAGTGTAGAACATGAGGTATACTGTAGCCTGTTAGCATCGGTGTAGAACATGATGTATACTGTAGCCTGTTAGCATCAGTGTAGAACATGATGGACAGTGTAGCCTGTTAGCATCAGTGTAGAACGTGATGTATACTGTAGCCTGTTAGCATCAGTGTAGAACATGATGGACAGTGTAGCCTGTTAGCATCAGTGTAGTACACGTTTGTACATAGACTCTGCTTTCATACTGGTTTGGATACAATAAAAAGCAGCCAAGAGGACAGCATTTATAAGAAACACTAAATGGCATAATGTCTTCTTATGTCATGAAAGTAATCCATTATCCCAAGTTTAGAATGAATCATAAAATTAATGTGTGTAGAGCTTCTGAAGTAAGTTAGACTACAATATTGTTGTATGGGACATTAGGCATGGGATTGAGTAGCTGCTTCTTCCACATGATGTGGGACATTCTCCTGCAGCTGTTACCGGTAGCAGCAAATTCCAAATAAGGCTGATGAAGATTGTTCAGGTTGCAAGTGTTGGTGTACCATCTTTTGAATGAAAATAAGTATCATTATGTATTCCCCACTGTGTGATAGAGCTGTGGTCTGCCTATATAAGATTACTGGACAAGAAAAGTGAATATTATACCTGCTTGATCAACTAGGTTAACAGTGACCAGTTGTGTCTTGGAACTTGTCTGATTTCTTGGTAGAATTACTCTGGTCTAGAAACAAGCCAGGGTTTTGTGGGCAAGTCAGATATTCTTGTTAAGGTCAACAACTCACAAACTCAGCAGCAATGTTTCATTTCCTCTTCAAAGTGCCTGTTCATCTAGCAGAGCATCAATATGTAACTATTGTCCACAGCTTGTCTCCCACATTAGTGAATTTATTTGGGTGAAGTAAAGATGATGAATGAAACTGTGTTTCTATATGGTGAACATGTACCTTAGTATCTGGGTGGTTGGAACACTAATCCACCGTAACACCGTCACCATGATGTATATATCCTACTCACCAACCAAGTATGATAATGGTTAACTTGAAGTTCAAATTAAACAGACCCAAGTAGATTTTCGGTATTGTTGAGCACACGTACCTAACCCCAACACTAGTTTGCATGGTAATTTGTGTTAGTTCAGAGTCTGGTTTCACACATACCTTCAGACCACCAGTAAAATATGGAAAAATGTATTTTTCTGTTGAAAGAGTTCAGGATCCATGTTTGGAAAGAGGCTATCGTTTCCGCAACTGGAGTTGCCTGATTTTAAGAAAAGTAGACGGGATGTGGAGGTGTGTGGATGACCAATCACAGCCCATTTAACATCACACCAAGCTTGAATTTCTTTCAGTTTCAATATTCACGTTTTTTACAGCTTCCACTTAGTTGGGTCATTGTAGCGGCAGTGCTTTCAACACGCACAAGTTATGAAGCACTATGATTTATTTTGGAGCATGATTTTGATATGATTTGCAGTATGTTTTACTTAAGTATGTTATATCAGGCTTGCACAAACTACAAAATGTAAGCTGTGTGTAGCTTTGACAAATAATACGAAAATGTCGAAGTCTGCCCCCATTGTCTGTTGATGCCCAGACTTCAATATGACCTGAGTATGCTTCTGCTTACACAGTTGTATCTCCACAATGGTTCACCGCACAAACAGCCCTCTCTCAAGTCTTGACAAACTGTAGGATGTACAGGAAAATTGGGCAACTATTACCTCATTTGAAATGGCAGTCAGTTTGAGTACCATAGTAAAGTATGGGTGATTGCTGGCAAGTTTTATTTGGATTTTTTGTTATACTATACATGTTTTCTCTAAAATGTTATCTAGATATTATCTCAGCCATATCTTACAAATATGTGTCATATGGATTATGACAACATACCAGTGTCGGTTCCCACCAGTCATATGGGTTATAACAACATACCAGTGTCTGTCCCCACCAGTCATATGGGTTATAACAACATACCAGTGTCTGTCCCCACCAGTCATATGGGTTATAACAACATACCAGTGTCTGTCCCCACCAGTCATATGGGTTATAACAACATACCAGTGTCTGTCCCCACCAGTCATATGGGTTATAACAACATACAAACATAAAGTATCCAAAGAAATCAAAGCAGTAGTATTTGGTTAGTCAGGCCGTAGGTAGGGATATATTTTGCTCATCTAGTTCAGAACCCAGCTAACTGCTCACCTAACTGATTCAGGGACTGTCTGATGTTGTCCGAAGTGAGTAGTGTTGGGGGTGACTTGCATGTACACCTACTGCTTACTTGAGACTCTTACACAGGTGTGTGGGCCAGGTGTTGAAGCATGTGCATGTGGACATCTGTGTGTTCTCTAGCCTCTTTTACTGTGTACAATGTATGTTGTTACCATCTACACTAGTGTGCTTCCGGATACTTGTTGATACTATGACATGTTAGCAGTGTTTGAAATAGCTGCCTGTTAACCCACAACCAGAGATAGTGTTGCAGACTTGGAGAATAATTGAAGTGTCCTTTCAATCTGTTAATGTACTGCCCTCTGTTAATGTACTGTACCTCCCAGGGATTGTGACAATATTGTCAACTGAATTCTGTCGGCCAGTACATCCATCAGCTTCAAAAGTTATTGTTGTTTCGAACACTGTTGGTCATTATTGTATATCTTCCAGTATTTTGGAGGTTTTGTTTCAGTGTGTATATGTGTTTGAATATGTCTCAAACAGGGAAACGCATTTCCTTGACCATGTTTGGACATGGCGTACACCCTGCTCCTGATTCGCTGCCTTCAGGATTGTTTCATGGACACAATACTTGTCTACAGGCATGCTCAGCAACAACTCAGGTTCAGAATGTTGAGAACACTCAAACATTCTGATATTCAAATATCAAAGAATATATACCTTTCCAAACTTTTTTTATCATTTGTTGTTTAATGTACTGTGGTGAGAGTTTCTTATTTTTGTAGTATGCTTGTAAAGGAGTGATGCCTTCAGTTGGTGGTGGTTGTAACTGTGGTATTTGCAGGCCCAATGGCAGGCAATGAAATGAACCAGTTTCTCTTTCAGCAGTTTGCCACCTATATTTAACAAATTTGTAATTTATGTCTTATCTTATTGAAAGTCAGATTAAAATAATAAAATGACTGTTTGTGACATGTTTGGCTAGATCAAAAGTACAATGTTTGTTCTCTTGATAAATGATATAGATGCCTTATCTGATGTATATAGCTCTAGTATAATGACAACACCTTGATGTGACAGTACTCTAGTGATAACAGCTGGTATGTAGCATTGCTATCAACAGACTTCCTGTATAGGAAGAAAGACATGTTCAGCATTGGTGCAGTTAGCTTGGTGAACTACTATGTTGTAGAGGAGGAGAAGGAATGTGTGTGATGTGTAATGTCAACTCTGCTACAGGATCCTAACCTGCTGGATGAGGAGATTGACTGGTGGTCCAAATACTATGCCTCCACCGGAGAGACTACCAAATGCCGGAAGTACGTGGAGCTGGGATACGACAATCTACTGGTACATATCACATTACTCGCTACAAACATTCAACTCATGCTGTTTTGAATAATCAAAACCTTCAAGTTGATGGTTCAAGCATTGCGATGGACTAGTGGGATGCTTTACAGCCTTTGTATACTGAGACACTCTGAAAATGCAGATCAGAAATATTTTGATTTTTTTTTTTTTTTTTTTTTGTAGGGAGGTTTCATTATTGGCACAAGAGGATGAAATGCTTGAGTTAAACACATTATGTTTGGGCTAAAAATATAATATTTTGATTTCACACCGCTTTTAGCAATATTCCATCAATATATCAAATATCATATAGGAACACCAGAAATGGTCTCCACACATTTATGTACTGTATTCTAGGCCTTGTTTTATACACAGAGATTAAATTTACTCTTTGTAATTGTCTCATTTTCCCTGTCATTTTTGTGCAATTTTCACAAACTTCAGTCCTTCACACAAACAGAAATAAACAAATATGAAAGAATTTTTATTCTTGCGTGATATTTATTTCAGATCTTGAAATCTGAACTGGAGAAGACAGAGGATTTCAATGGCTTTGTTGACTTCTGCCACAGTTTTGATTTGTGTCGGGGGAAAAATGAGGAGGAGGAGGAGTCGAATGTGGTTGGGGAGTTCAAGGTGAGATGATGTCTGTGTGTCTCTAAAGTCTCCCAGGAATGCTTGCTGCAAGCGGTATTTGGATAGGGTGTTCAAGGCGAGATGATATCTGTGTGTCACTAAAGTCTCCCAGGAATGCTTGCTGCAAGCGGTATGTGGATAGGGTGTTCAAGGTGAGATGATGTCTGTGTGTCTCTAAAGTCTCCCAGGAATGCTTGCTGCAAGCGGTATGTGGATAGGGTGTTCAAGGTGAGATGAGTTCTGTGTGTCTCTAAAGTCTCCCAGGAATGCTTGCTGCAAGCGGTATGTGGATAGGGTGTTCAAGGTGAGATGAGTTCTGTGTGTCTCTAAAGTCTCCCAGGAATGCTTGCTGCAAGCGGTATGTGGATAGGGTGTTCAAGATGAGATGATGTCTGTGTGTCTCTAAAGTCTCCCAGGAATGCTTGCTGCAAGCGGTATATGGATAGGGTGTTCAAGGCGAGATGATGTCTGTGTGTCTCTTAAGTCTCCCGGGAATGCTTGCTGCAAGCGGTATGTGGATAGGGTGTTCAAGGTGAGATGAGTTCTGTGTGTCTCTAAAGTCTCCCAGGAACGCTTGCTGCAAGCGGTATTTGGATAGGGTGTTAAAGGTGAGATGATGTCTGTGTGTCACTAAAGTCTCCCAGGAATGCTTGCTGCAAGCAGTATGTTGATGGGGAGTTAAAGGCGAGATGATATCTGTGTGTCTCTAATGTCTCCCAGGAATGCTTGCTGCAAGCGGTATGTGGATAGGGTGTTCAAGGTGAGATGATGTCTGTGTGTCACTAAAGTCTCCCAGGAATGCTTGCTGCAAGCGGTATGTGGATAGGGTGTTCAAGGTGAGATGATGTCTGTGTGTCTCTAATGTCTCCCAGGAATGCTTGCTACAAGCGGTATGTGGATAGGGTGTTCAAGGTGAGATGATGTCTGTGTGTCACTAAAGTCTCCTGGGAATGCTTGCTGCAAGCGGTATGTGGATAGGGTGTTCAAGATGAGATGATGTCTGTGTGTCTCTAAAGTCTCCCAGTAATGCTTGCTGCAAGTGGTATATGGATAGGGTGTTCAAGGTGAGATGATGTCTGTGTGTCTCTTAAGTCTCCCGGGAATGCTTGCTGCAAGCGGTATGTGGATAGGGTGTTCAAGGTGAGATGAATTCTGTGTGTCACTAATGTCTCCCAGGAATGCTTGCTGCAAGCGGTATGTGGATAGGGTGTTCAAGGTGAGATGATGTCTGTGTGTCTCTAAAGTATCCCAGGAATGCTTGTTGCAAGCAGTATGTTGATGTGGAGTTCAAGGTGAGATGATGTCTGTGTGTCTCTAAAGTATCCCAGGAATGCTTGCTGCAAGTGGTATGTTGATGGGGAGTTCAAAGCGAGATGATGTCCGTGTGTCTCTAAAGTATCCCAGGAATGCTTGCTGCAAGTGGTATGTTGATGGGGAGTTCAAGGCGAGATGATGTCTGTGTGTCTCTAAAGTCTCCCAGGAATGCTAGCTGCAAGCGGTATATGGATAGGGTGCTCAAGGTGAGATGATGTCTGTGTGTCTCTAAAGTATCCCAGGAATGCTTGTTGCAAGCAGTATGTTGATGTGGAGTTCAAGGTGAGATGATGTCTGTGTGTCTCTAAAGTATCCCAGGAATGCTTGCTGCAAGTGGTATGTTGATGGGGAGTTCAAGGCGAGATGATGTCTGTGTGTCTCTAAAGTCTCCCAGGAATGCTAGCTGCAAGCGGTATATGGATAGGGTGCTCAAGGTGAGATGATGTCTGTGTGTCTCTAAAGTATCCCAGGAATGCTTGTTGCAAGCAGTATGTTGATGTGGAGTTCAAGATGAGATGATGTCTGTGTGTCTCTAAAGTCTCTCAGGAATGCTTGCTGCAAGCGGTATGTGGATAGGGTGTTCAAGGCGAGATGATGTCTGTGTGTCTCTAATGTCTCCCAGTAATGCTTGCTGTAAGCGGTATGTGGATAGGGTGTTCAAGGCGAGATGATGTCTGTGTGTCTCTAATGTCTCCCAGGAATGCTTGCTGCAAGCAGTATGTTGATGGGGAGTTAAAGGCGAGATGATGTCTGTGTGTCACTAAAGTCTCCCAGGAATGCTTGCTGCAAGCGGTATGTGGATAGGGTGTTCAAGGTGAGATGAGTTCTGTGTGTCTCTAAAGTCTCCCAGGAATGCTTGCTGCAAGCGGTATGTGGATAGGGTGTTCAAGGTGAGATGAGTTCTGTGTGTCTCTAAAGTCTCCCAGGAATGCTTGCTGCAAGCGGTATGTGGATAGGGTGTTCAAGATGAGATGATGTCTGTGTGTCTCTAAAGTCTCCCAGGAATGCTTGCTGCAAGCGGTATATGGATAGGGTGTTCAAGGCGAGATGATGTCTGTGTGTCTCTTAAGTCTCCCGGGAATGCTTGCTGCAAGTGGTATGTGGATAGGGTGTTCAAGGTGAGATGAGTTCTGTGTGTCTCTAAAGTCTCCCAGGAACGCTTGCTGCAAGCGGTATTTGGATAGGGTGTTAAAGGTGAGATGATGTCTGTGTGTCACTAAAGTCTCCCAGGAATGCTTGCTGCAAGCAGTATGTTGATGGGGAGTTAAAGGCGAGATGATATCTGTGTGTCTCTAATGTCTCCCAGGAATGCTTGCTGCAAGCGGTATGTGGATAGGGTGTTCAAGGTGAGATGATGTCTGTGTGTCACTAAAGTCTCCCAGGAATGCTTGCTGCAAGCGGTATGTGGATAGGGTGTTCAAGGTGAGATGATGTCTGTGTGTCTCTAATGTCTCCCAGGAATGCTTGCTACAAGCGGTATGTGGATAGGGTGTTCAAGGTGAGATGATGTCTGTGTGTCACTAAAGTCTCCTGGGAATGCTTGCTGCAAGCGGTATGTGGATAGGGTGTTCAAGATGAGATGATGTCTGTGTGTCTCTAAAGTCTCCCAGTAATGCTTGCTGCAAGCGGTATATGGATAGGGTGTTCAAGGTGAGATGATGTCTGTGTGTCTCTTAAGTCTCCCGGGAATGCTTGCTGCAAGCGGTATGTGGATAGGGTGTTCAAGGTGAGATGAATTCTGTGTGTCACTAAAGTCTCCCAGGAATGCTTGCTGCAAGCGGTATGTGGATAGGGTGTTCAAGGTGAGATGATGTCTGTGTGTCTCTAAAGTATCCCAGGAATGCTTGTTGCAAGCAGTATGTTGATGTGGAGTTCAAGGTGAGATGATGTCTGTGTGTCTCTAAAGTATCCCAGGAATGCTTGCTGCAAGTGGTATGTTGATGGGGAGTTCAAGGCGAGATGATGTCTGTGTGTCTCTAAAGTCTCCCAGGAATGCTAGCTGCAAGCGGTATATGGATAGGGTGCTCAAGGTGAGATGATGTCTGTGTGTCTCTAAAGTATCCCAGGAATGCTTGTTGCAAGCAGTATGTTGATGTGGAGTTCAAGGTGAGATGATGTCTGTGTGTCTCTAAAGTATCCCAGGAATGCTTGCTGCAAGTGGTATGTTGATGGGGAGTTCAAGGCGAGATGATGTCTGTGTGTCTCTAAAGTCTCCCAGGAATGCTAGCTGCAAGCGGTATATGGATAGGGTGCTCAAGGTGAGATGATGTCTGTGTGTCTCTAATGTCTCCCAGTAATGCTTGCTGTAAGCGGTATGTGGATAGGGTGTTCAAGGCGAGATGATGTCTGTGTGTCTCTAATGTCTCCCAGGAATGCTTGCTGCAAGCGGTATGTGGATAGGGTGTTCAAGGCGAGATGATGTCTGTGTGTCTCTAAAGTATCCCAGGAATGCTTGCTGCAAGCAGTATGTTGATAGGGTGTTCAAGGTGAGATGATGTCTGTGTGTCTCTAAAGTATCCCAGGAATGCTTGCTGCAAGCAGTATGTGGATAGGGTGTTCAAGGTGAGATGATGTCTGTGTGACACTAAAGTATCCCAGGAACGCTTGCTGTAAGTGGTATGTTGATGTGTTTAGGTAATAAATCAGGTATTATGAACCTCTATATGAAGTATTATACATGTGTCATTTGTTGTAGGGTTCATTCCGAGTTTACCCTCTGCCTCAAGATCCAAGTGAACCCCTCCCAGTGAAGATTCTGAGCAATCTGCCCAGCAGTGATCCTGATGAATGTGTCATTCGGGTGTATGTCATCAAAGCCATCGAGCTGCAGCCCAATGACCCTAGTGGTTTGGTTAGTGTGCACTATCTATGTGTCAGTAACTAGGTTGTCTAGACCATTTGTCATGCATGTCAAGACAGTTTGATGAGTACATTGTCTTTTATCTATTCCTCTTACACTTTTCAGGATCCATTTTCAGATCCATTATCTTGCTTGGTTTGTTGAGAAACATTTTTTTATATCCAACAAAGGCTTAGGCCAATTCTTAAGAGGAAACCAAAGCATGTTTCCTTTTTGTTGTATATCAATGAAAAAGTTGTTCCTGTGAAAGCTATATGACCTTGTGATCGGTAAATGTTTCTGCAGGCTGACCCCTACCTGGAGGTGTTGCTTGGCAACAAGAAGCTCAACACAAGGGATGACTACATTCCCAACACGACAAATCCAGTGTTTGGCAAGTAAGTGCATACTCTGGCAATGTAGGATGACGTAGGGCGACAGATATACAGGAATCAGTATTACCCCAGTGGGATGGAACTAATCAAACGTTAAGTGGTGATGTATATTTAGCTCACTAGTATTGATATTAAACTTTCATTTGTTCAGGAAAGTTGTCACTTGGCGACCATCTGTTTATCAGCAGTCAATCGACTACCTATTAACTACATCACCTAAAAACTATCTGAAGAGACAAAACTGCATAGCACCAACTTCTATTTTTCATGATGAACATTTTCACATGGCCCCTGCCCTAAAACATGAGACTTTATGTGGGTCCATGAGACGGTCCAAAGAAGTTGGCGGGGGATACAGAAATGGGTTCCGTCCGTGTCTGTGTGTGTGTGTGCGTGTGTGTGTGTGTGTGTGTGTGTGTGTGTGTGTGTGTGCGTGCGTGCGTGTGCGTGTGTGTGTGTGCGTGTGTGTGCGTGTGTGTGCGTGCTGTGCGTCCCAAAATCGTTTCCGGAGCATAACTCAGAAACCTTTAAACATTTCTTTACGAAACTTTGCATGTCTATCAGACTCATGCTGAACTGGTGCCTTTTGCTATTTAGGAATTTTATAAATTTTTATTTTTTACGTTTCCATGGCAACAAGTTGGACTTAGGTTCTATAAGGGTGGTGTTCGTTTCTGGAGCATAACTCAAAAACCATTAAATACTTTCTTACAAAACTTTGCATGTCTACTAGGCACATACTGAACTGGTGCCTTTCGCTATTTAGGAATTTTAATAATTTTTATTTTTTACGTTTCCATTGCAACAAGTTGGACTTAGGTTCTATAGGGTAGAGCTTGTTTCCGGAGCAGAACTCAAAACCCATTCAATACTTTCCAACAAAAACTCTGCATGTTTACCAGACACATACTGGACTGGTGCCTCTTGCTATTTAGGAATTTAATAATTTTTATTTTTTACGTTTCCATGGCAACAAGTTGGACTTAGGTTCTAAAAGGGTGCTGTTCGTTTCCGGAGTGTAACTCAAAAACCGTTGAATAATTTCTTACAAAACTTTGCATGTTTACCAGACACATACTGAACTGGTGCCTTTTGCTATTTAGGAGTTTTATAATTTTTTATTTTTTACGTTTCCATGGCAACAAGTTGGACTTAGGTTCTATAAGGGTGCTGTTCTTTTCCGGAGCGTAACTCAAAAACTGTTAAATTCTTTCTTACAAAACTTTGCATGTCTACCAGGCACATACTGAACTGGTGCCTTTTGATATATAGCACTTTTAGAAATTGTTATTGTTTATGTTTCCAAGACAACAAGTTGGATTTAAGTTTTAATATAGGATTGGTTTACTTAAGTAGTATAACAAATAAACTGTTAAATATTTCCTTGCCAAACATTGCATGTCTATATATAAAGCGCATACTGAACTAGTGCCATTTGATATTAAGGAGTTTTGGAAATGTTTATTTTAGAATTTCCATTGCAGCTATTTTGACATTGGCTAAGAGAAATGTTTGGTCAGTTACCTGGTTTGGGACCATAACGTGTTAAAATGGGCTATAGATGACTTTGTCAAATATACGCTTGTTTATATTGTTTTGATAACTGTTTTCCATAACTACTCTTCTATACGGAGAGATAGATTAGATAGAAATTCTCTCATCCAGTTGGACTTAATGTAACAGTCAGATGATTTGTTCTTTCGAATTTTGGGGGGCCTGGGGCATTTGTCATCTTCTGATGACTCTTGTATTTATTCAGATTGTAAAAATATGACCTTTTCAAAAGCAAGACAGCCAAGAGAACTAGCTGAAGATGTTGCAGGATATGTTGCACTGCAAGGGGACTTTTTATAAAAGGTGGATTACATGCTCATAGCTGGAAAAAAACCCAGAATGTTTTACGAAAAAGCTCATCCAATCTCATTAAAATCAGATCTTCGTTCTCGCTACCGCTAAACAAAGATCTGAGGACATCCCATTACGGGTCACATCAGACCGATCTTGTGCGAACTTTGACCGACCAATGGAATGACCAATCAGAAGGCACCTTTCTCCAGCTTTACGGCACTAATTTCAAATTGGTGACTACGCTTCGAAACATATTTTGACAAATTCTCCATAACAAATTTGAAACCTGAACAAAACAATATTCTGAAATGGCTAATAGATAGTCTAGATTGTATGGATTCGGTCGTCAAACCCATAACTATGTTCGGAATACCCTGTGTTAAAGTTTTCGTGGTTGCATGATTAGAAATCACATTCCGACTGTCACTTTCATAATCTGGTAAGTGACACTCTGATTGGTCAGATGAAAGGTCGTTCTGACGTGACCCCAAATGGGATGTCTTCTGATCTTTGTTTAGCGGTAGCGAGAACTAAGGTCTGATTTTAATGAGATTGAAGCTCATCATAACCAAAGCAAGTTTCTTATATATAACATCACATCTCACGTATATGCTAATGTCCTTCTTGGTGTATAAATAATCTATAGATTTCCTCTCAACACCTGCTTTATCAGTGTGTTCTGGGTAGAATAACTTCATTGTTGTACATTCTTGATGGCTGAAAATGTCACTGCATACATGCTTCTCACTCAAGCAAATCATGCATGTCTGATCATTGTGCTCACATAATGAAAATCTCTATTTTTCAGAATGTTTGAAATAGTGGCCTCCATTCCTTTGGAGAAGGATCTCCTCCTGCGTGTGAAAGACTACGATCTGATCTCATCGGATGATGTCATTGGAGAAACATTGATTGACTTGGAGAACCGTTTTCTCACAAAGCATAGAGGAACATGTGGCTTGGCCAAGTCATACTGCACGTATGTGATTGTGTATATGACACATTTTGAATGTCAAATTGATTCCACGCTAAAGTGTTAGAATCCTAGTGTTATTATTCTAGAAGGGGGAAGACTATTTGGCCACTGGTTCTAACCTTCTCATTTGAGTGGCCAAAATCTTGCAACACTTCCAGAGCTATGGCTGTCCACAGTTGATGCTGATGTGTTTTCTCTTCACAGGTCGGGCATCAATGAATGGCGTGACTGCATGAAGCCCAAGGAATTGCTGGAGGAATACTGTCGAAAGCGTAACCTCACAGGGCCTATGTTCTATGGCAACAACAGTGTCAAAGTGGGCAAGCGAGTGTATAACCTGGCTGAATTTGGTATGATGATTACAAATACTAAGTCCTATCCATGCTACAACGAATCGTGTACCTCATTTGATCATATAACAGTACTGGTCTTCTGTTTGTTATTATTGTTGGTACATGGAAACAGCTATTGAACTGGGCTGACATACATGAGCCTTGTTACACTTCATCTGTCTGATTACACTGACATCTCTGAAGGAATGACTGACACAGGTTTTCTATCTCGCTACAACATCATGCAAATTGCTTCTGATCTTTGATGTCCATAACACAGTGTGAAACTATTTGCACAAACACACCTTGTACCATGGTCAATTTGGTAATTGTTCAGGTAGTAGATTTTTGTGAGATGTTTGACCCTTGTTTGACCTTTCAGTTTGGACCATACTAGTAATTCTCCCAGCATGCAGCATAGTCTCTGAAAACACCATTGTCTTAAGACCACAGGACAGATACAGCTGAAACTTCACATACTTGTTACCACCAATGTTGACCCCTGAAAGCTTTCAGTAGCAGTTATGGCGCAGACCTTTTTATGGCCCATGTCAGCCATTTCAGCTCAGAATGTTAGTATACATCTTGATTATTGTATGGATGCCATTTTGTGTGCAGAACAAAACAAGAAAGCCAACTCCCACTGGGGTCCTCCTGAGGAGCGCCTTGCCCTGGCCGTGCTCAACACCATGCCGCTTGTGAAGGAACATGTTGAAACACGCCCATTGTTCAACCCTCTACAGCCAGGGATAGAGCAGGTGCATACTACAGTAATTCTGTAAAGCAAATCAACAATGTTTAAAGTCACAACCTATGTCCAGTGTTATAACATGAAAAAAAATGTCAGTGAAAATCTGTATGAATTTCTGTTGGGTAAAAACAAAAAAATCCTCCACACACAAAGTGAAAGTGTTGGCTCACATAGGACACCGATTTTTTAACTTATCCTTCATTACTCTTTAATGCATTCACTGCATATTCTTGACAGACAGAAGAGCTGTGTGAGGTCTTGCTGAAGAAGAAGTTGTTCCAACTGCTTGTGTGACTAATCCCATCACACAGCTCCCACGTGACCACAGAAGTGATGACGTCACGTATCATCACATTGCTGCTGTCACTCAGAGAGAACAATCACCTGTTTTGATTACTCAGCTTTACCCATTACAATCCTTAGCATGTTATTACAACACTATTGTTTATGTGAATTATATCCTACCTATGGTTTGTGTCTTCTTATGTTACGTATGACTTTTACCATTGCAATAATATTTAATGCTTGATAGTGGCTTTTTGTCAAGGTAAGTGTCAGGTGTATTGTTGTCCAAATTAACTATTTTGAATTCACTTCATGGTCACATTTTTTCGTGTAATGCGTTTTGTATTCTTTCTATTGCTTGGTTCTCCTCATACATTGTTGTACCTTTACTTCCCTATGGTTATTAAAGTTTTGTATTCTCCTTTCTTTGCGTAATCGGGGGCACGGGTGGCCCAGTCGTCTAAGGCGCCGCGATTTGCTGTGCAGAGTTAATTTCCTTGGGCACGCCAGAAACCTATGATTGTGGGTTCGAATCCCGGTTCGCCCCGATTATGTTTCTAGGTTTGTCAGCACCATACCTGTGCCCGTCGGTTTCACCGAAGTGGTAAACGGCTGAGACCTGCATCACTTCGGGCTTTCCTCCCACATTAAGCTGACACGCCGTGACATAACTGGAATACTGTTAAAAGCGGCGATAAGCCCAACTCACTCACTCACTCACTCACTCACTCACTCACTCACTCACTCACTCTTTGCGTAATCTTATCCCTTCACCATTGTGTTCTGTGATTTGGAATATTACATACACACACAATCATGGTTCGAACGCATTGTGATTACACTTTCTGCTTCATTGCAGATTTATGTCCAGTACTTAGGGCCACGGTAAGAAGTCTGGCTGGAACCCCCACACTTTGTGTCTGGACTGCTACCATATATGTTCGACAGCTTCAAATGTAGCTTTTGCATACCCCTCTCTCCCACAGCCTTCTCCAAGTACCTGAGGGTCTCTCGGAAGCGCTGCTTGCAGCAAGCTTGTAGACAAGCTAAAAGGAAGATGTCTTACTCCTCTGGGACTGCTACATCTCCACTAGCCACAGCTTCTCCAAGTTCTTCTGGCTGGAAGCCCCTACCAGCGTGTACTCCTGTAAGATCAGCCTCCCCTGTATCTCTTCTACCTATGTTGACAGGCAAACACCTCCCCTCATACAGATGTCGGTGTCTACTCCAGAGACAACAGTACTCCAGACGCCGATGACCAAACTGAAGACTATGTCTATCTACACATCAATGACCAGGTGGCGCCTTAACAACTCATCCAGGTTCCCTTATATGGATCCCTCCTAGTTGCAGATGATGGCTTTCATACAACGATCAAAGAATTTTCTTTCTGTCGCTTTTAGTTGACATGATCTGCACCAAAAGTTGAAGATCACAAATTCACGACCAATTTGACATTTGACAGAATCGTCATATGCTACTGGGTACCCATCTCTGGATCATAGTTCACAAGACAGGACCAAACGTCACACTTATCATGGTGATAAACATGCCCCTCCACCGGCCATGTCACACATTCTACACAGACCTGGGAAACACCAGTTGTCTGTCAACAACACAGTTCACAGTCCGGGGTCGACACATTCCCTCCTTCAACTGACGTTCTTGGTTCAGATGGTTCTTGCATCTGATCCTGTTCTGGTCCAGCGCATTCCCAGATGTTGAAACGCCCGGCAGACGCCCTCTCGAGACCAGACAAGGTAGCTCCCACAGAGTGGAAACTCCATCAGGGCCTTTGATCTTGTCAACACCTCGGTTACCCCAAAATCGATTTGTTTGCCACCAGCCAGAACTTGATAGCGTCTTGGTGGCCAACAAAGGTCTGGTTAATGGATCTCAAGGAGATGTCTGCCAACGACTCCACCTCAAACTCCCAGATTGGCCAAACCTGCTGATCCACCCTCACAGAAAATAGCCCCACACAGCTCTAGACACCCTCATGCCTGGTGATCTACTCGGCAAGGGTAGCGAAGGCAATCACCTTGGCGCACAAAGCTTCCACCAGGGGCCTTTATGATTACAAGTGGCACTCCTTTGAGAGTTTCTGCAAGGAGAAACACCAGGATCCCACCTCTGCGTCATCCCAATTCTTGGCTGTATTTCTACTGTTCTGCGGCAAAAGCTTCTTCTGAAGGGCAGCCCCATCACAACCCACCTTGTGGCCCTAAACTCAGTCTTGACCAAGATTCCCGAACTCCAAGCGTTATTACGCTCCTTTCGCCTTGAAGACCAGAATGCCAAGTTCAGATCCCCGGCATTGGATCTAAATGTGGTGCTTACCCTTCTGAGAGGTGCTTTTTGAGCAACTCCACTCGGTGTCTTACTACAACCCCACCAAGAAGGCTTCCTCTTGTCTCTGGTTACAGCGGCACGAGTGAGTGAACCGCATACTTTTGATGCCACCCATGTTAGATAAGTGCAGAGTGCATGGAGCCGCTCATCTTGGGCCGTGCTAGGACTTCATTGCCAAGAATCAACTCCCAGGGCAGCCGGACAGATCTTTCACAATCCTGCCCCTATCTTCAATAATTGGGGTTGAGGATGAACAGGAACTTGTACTTTGTCCGGTGTGTCTACTGCGATGATTCATTCGATGCTCTAAGAATCATCGAGGACAATGTTGCCGCCTTTTCATCCCTGTATCTACAACATTACAGGTGGAAGTTAGCCGCAACACGATCTCCCAATTGCTCCACGCCATCATTCTTCAGGCCTATGAGGCCACGGGACTGGATCCTCTGGGAGCCAACAACCCACATGAGATATAGGCGGTCGCCTCTAGCATGGCGCTTCACAGCAACTGCTCCATCCAAACCATTATGGTAGGTTGCTTCTGTCTCTTGGACACAGTTTTTGCCAGCCACTACTTCCGAGCTTTGGTGCTTCTCCAAGGTCCCGAATCCCGACCTTTTGATCTGTCCGGTGTCACCCCAGACTAGTACGTTACATGCTGCATGCATTGGCTCACCAATCCTTGTTGCCATTAAGAAGCTCCTACTGTCCAGAGCCAGCCTTACCCAACTTGTGCAGTGTTTGCACCCCGACAGGGGCGTTATTCTGCTAACCAGCAGTTTGGCTTGATAATACTTTAGCGCAATTTCTCTTGCTGCTTTTTACCTGGACAGCCTCATACTCGTACCGTCCACGGACTGGATTGATCGCAGTAGTTCCAGATCTGCGCAAGTGATACACTCAGCGACTGCCGTGAACTACTGGAGAGTTTGTCACTGAGGATCGCATCTGAAGGTATGCCCTCTGTCGTACCGTCCAATGCAGATGCATTAAAGAGAAATGCAGGATAAGTTAAAAAATCTAGTAAATCCTAGATATTTTGTATGTTTGTATACTTATCTTGCATTACTTCATCTAAAGTGGCCCACCTGTCGCAGAGCTGCCTCCCTACAATCTAGCATTAATGTGATGATACGTGACGTCATCCCTTCTGTGTTCATGTGGAAGCTGTGTTCCAACAACTTCTTCAGTAAAACCTCACACAGCTCTGCTTTCTGTCAAGAACAAGCTGTGTATGCATTAAGGAGTAATGCAGGATAAGTATACTAATACAGATATAATTCTTGACATGGGTACAGTGTGTGAAGCCCATCTCTTGTATTACTGACATTGCTGGAATAGTCCTAGCAGGCAGACAGACAGACAGACACACCACCACCCACACAATCACACACTCACACACACAACATCTTGCGAGTGAATGTACAGTCAGGTATATCACAGATTGCAGTAATGCTGTTACACAGCCTGGAACCTTTACTGTTCTTGTGTTTCACTTACCTATGTCCCATAGATTGAATCAACATGAAGCCTTCTTACATACAACCCATTTCTATGTGACAATGTTCACTTTCAGGGCAAGCTGCAGATGTTTGTGGATATATTCCCCAAGTCACTGGGGGAACCAGGGCCACCCTTTGATGTGACTCCCAGAAAACCAAAAGGGTATGAAAACAGCAGCTGTCAACTCATAGCCAAGTGTTTCTTGACTATATTGTTAATATATTGTTCTTCAATTCTGCTATATAGCAGTGCTGTAGCTGTGTGTATATTTCATGTCTGTAGAAAAGATGAACTCTGTGTGCATATGGGTAAACCTACATTACAGGTATGTACTGACTCTGTGTGTGTGTGTGTGTGTATATGGGTAAACCTATGTTACAGGTATGCCCTAACTCTGTGTGTGTGTGTGTGTATATGGGTAAACATCTGTTACAGGTATTCCCTAACTCTATGTGTGTGTGTATATGGGTAAACATCTGTGTGTGTGTGTGTGTGTGTGTGTGTGCGTGGGTGTGGGTGTGGATGGATGGGTGGGTAAACATCTGTTACAGGTATGTCCTGACTCTGTGTGTGTGTGTGTGTTTGTGTTTGTGTGTGTATGTAGGTAAACATCTGTTACAAGTATGTCCTGACTCTGTGTGTGTGTATATGGGTTAACATCTGTTACAGGTATGCCCTGACTCTGTGTGTGTATGTAGGTAAACATCTGTTACAGGTATGTCCTGATGCTTTGTGTGTGTGTATATTGGTAAACATCTGTTACAGGTATGTCCTGATGCTGTGTGTGTGTGTATGTAGGTAAACATCTGTTACAGGTATGCCCTGACTCTGTGTGTGTGTGTGTGTATATGGGTAAACATCTGTTACAGGTATGTCCTGAAGATCATCGTCTGGAACACAGTGGATGTTGTGCTGGAGGAGGAGTCCATTACTGGGGAGAAGATGAGTGATATCTATGTGGTGGGCTGGCTGCAGGGGATAGATGAAAAGCAGGAGACAGATGTCCATTACAGGTGGGACTAACATCACTTGTGCACGAGGTTAAACCCGTCTCACCTCCTTGTCGCGCCGTGTATACTTGGTCTCTACACACTATGAAATGGGGATACTTTCCAAGTATTTTAACTTGACATCAACATCTTGATATGATCATTTTTTTACCTTGACAATTTGCACGAAACCGAAGTGTCCAGATTAACAGGAACATTTTCCCTGTATTTATGTTTGTGAATATGACTACGTTAGTTTCTTTATGTAATGACATTAAAGACATTGTAATGCATTTGCATTGAAATTTATAGGTCTTTGGATGGAACAGGCAACTTCAACTGGAGATTTGTCTTCCCATTTGAGTACCTGCCCGCAGAGCAGACGATGGTGGTGCGTAGGAAGGTGAGTCTGTTCACAGACTGCTGCTGTCTTACCCAGTGGACATACAGCTGGTGTAAGGTACATGGACATACAGATGGTGTAAGGCACATGGACATACAGATGGTGTAAGGCACATGGACATACAGCTGGTGTAAGGCACATGGACATACAGCTGGTGTAAGGTACATGGACATACAGATGATGTAAGGCACATGGACATACAGATGGTGTAAGGCACATGGACATACAGCTGATGTAAGGTACATGGACATACAGATGATGTAAGGTACATGGACATACAGATGATGTAAGGTACATGGACATACAGATGATGTAAGGTACATGGACATACAGATGATGTAAGGTACATGGACATACAGATGATGTAAGGTACATGGACATACAGATGATGTAAGGTACATGGACATACAGATGGTGTAAGGCACATGGACATACAGATGATGTAAGGCACATGGACATACAGATGTGTAAGGCACATGGACATACAGCTGATGTAAGGTACATGGACATACAGATGATGTAAGGTACATGGACATACAGATGATGTAAGGTACATGGACATACAGATGATGTAAGGTACATGGACATACAGCTGGTGTAAGGCACATGGACATACATATGTTGTAGGGCACATGGACATACAGCTGATGTAAGGTACATGGACATACAGCTGATGTAAGGTAAATGGACATACAGATGATGTAAGGCACATGGACATACAGATGGTGTAAGGTACATGGACATACAGATGGTGTAAGGTACATGGACATACAGATGGTGTAAGGTACATGGACATACAGATGATGTAAGGTACATGGACATACAGATGGTGTAAGGTACATGGACATACAGATGGTGTAAGGTACATGGACATACAGATGGTGTAAGGCACATGGACATACAGCTGGTGTAAGGCACATGGACATACAGATGTTGTAAGGTATATGGACATACAGATGGGTGTAAGGTACATGGACATACAGGGGGTGTAAGGTACAGATGTGACAGGGAGATAATGCTCTTGTACCGGCAGTCTTCTTTACAACTCTACTGGCTCTTTCAATGCAGGAACACTTCTGGAGTCTGGATGAAACTGAACTTCATCTGTCCCCAATGCTCTCGTGTCAGATATGGGATAACGACAAGTTCTCCGCTGATGACTTCCTTGGTAAGCCTTTTGCTCCCTTAATTATAACCTTTGTCCTGGCTGTGACTTGTCCTCCAATTGCTGCTTGCTCATGTCATGAAAGGCTTTATTTTGATTGTGATTGACTTGAATCAGAGGCCATGTAAAATGTCATTTGTTCAGTCATTGTTTGCTTCAACATATCTAACAACTAGTTTTATCAAACACAGGAACTTTGGATGTCAATCTGAACTCAATCCCAAGGCCAGCAAAGAAGGCTTCCTCTTGTTCCCTGAAAACCATCCCTGATATGAACAACACTAACGCAGTGAAGTCTGTGTCGCTGTTTGAGTGTCGGAGACTCCGGGGCTTTTGGCCATGTTATAGTGACGAGAGTGGAGAGCGAGTGCTTACGGTCAGTTTGTCATCATGTCAACCATAGGAATACAGGTGTTTTGTAAATTATTTACAGATTATGAGACTTGTGTTTTGTTATTTGTCTTGAGACCAACTGATCATACACATTCAAAGACTCAGTTAGTGGACTTATTTTCACTTACAAACTTCAAAACAACAACATTGACGCCTCCAGTGTTGCAGACAGCACATCAGTGGAGAATGGTCCTCATTACTAATGAGTCATGTTTCCTTCTTCACTCAGCCACTGGCAGGAAATGTTTACAGGCGTCTAGGTGAAAGTTACATTGCGCCATATGTTCTTGCAAAGGCGATCACTGTGGAGGGGATTGTGTGATGACCTGTGGTGGAGTAATGGCAATACGGAGGACTTTGATGTTTGTGATAATGCGAATTTGAATGCTGGGAGATGCCGGGATGAGATTTAACAATTTTTGCAACAGAACAGCCCTTGAGTGACCTTCCAGCCCGATAACTCTGTACCATAAGTTGCAGGAGCTGATCAACAGTATCTGATTCAATACAATGTTAGGGTGTTACCCTGGCCTGCACAATCCCCTGATCTGTCACAAATCACACCTGTCTGGAATAAAATGGAATGTTTGCAACATCTTCCACATCCCCCAACAACATTGCAGAAAAAACATTTGTTAATCCTTCCTCAGATATGGAAAGCCATCCCCTAGCCTTTATTTGACATTTAGTGGCTTCTTTGAGGTGGAGGAGACCTGCCATCATCTTTGCACAATGTGGACACAGTCACTACTGTATGGCGGGAACCTGCCTGTGAACCCCCACATGTGACATGACTCATTTGCATATGATTGGAGCACTCTTCATATGTATATATCTAAAGACTATGTATAAAATTTGTATATAACTTTGACATGTTCAATATGAAGATTGAACTTCAATCAGTGTCTCTTTGAATAATGCATTTATACATTGAATTTATTTTTAAGGCGAAGCAACTGGTGGTTTTTTTTTTACAAAGTTATGTTTTTGTCACAGGGAAAAGTTGAAATGGAGCTGGAGTTACTGACAGCTGAGGAGGCGGCAGAGAAAGAATCCGGTCTCGGACAGGAGGAGCCCAACATGCACCCACATCTGGACCCTCCAAAGTGAGATACTACTTCAGGCATATTAATTCAGCTCACACAGATTCCTTCCACAGGACAACAAATATGTCTACCTGCAAAAAAAGAGAAAATCCTAATCTTAAAATCATCATGACAGGTGATAGGACTGCCACAAGTATTTACTGTTGAATATTTGGTTAGCAAGTGGATGATTGTTTCCAGAAACAGATTTTGAATGAAAACTACAAGAGTTCTGTAAGAAACAGGTGATTAATAGTGTTGTGATAGCATAACAGTGATTACTGAAATACAAATGTGTATTTTGCAGGCGACCAGAAACTTCATTCATGTGGTTTACAAGTCCATTCAAGACCCTGAAGTACATCATCTGGCGCAACTACAAGTGGTACATCATCAGCTCCCTGGTCATCCTCATCCTCATCCTCCTTGTCGTGCTCTTCGTCTACTCCTTCCCAGTACGTACTTCTCCAGGTCTTCTCACACATTCAGTATTGCTACACCTTGATGTAACTTGTCAGATGACCAGTCACCTTCACTTCAAAGTGACAGGTGTCATCTGGCCAACCACTGGTGTTTTACAATAATTGTCATTTACAGGACAAATTCTATAACCAGCAACATGGATAAGTAAAACAACAGTGTTTCCCCTTGTCAGATGGATACTAAACAACACAGTGTTTCCCCATGTCAGATGGATAATAAACAACACACTGTTTCCCCTTGTCAGATGGATACTAAACAATATACTGTTTCCCCTTGTCAGATGGAAGCTAAACAACACTGTTTCCCCTTGTAAGATGGATACTAAACAACACTGTTTCCCCTTGTCAGATCGAAACTAAACAACACAGTTTCCCCTTGTCAGATGGATACTAAACAACACTGTTTCCCCTTATCAGATGGAAACTAAACAACACACTGTTTCCGCTTCTCAGATGGAAACTAAACAAAACACTGTTTCCCCTTGTCAGATGGATACTAAACAACACACTGTTTCCGCTTGTCAGATGGAAACTAAACAAAACACTGTTTCCCCTTGTCAGATGGATACTAAACAACACTGTTTCACCTTGTCAGATGGATAATAAACAACACACTCTTTCCCCTTGTCAGATGGATACTAAACAATATACTGTTTCCCCTTGTCAGATGGAAGCTAAACAACACTGTTTCCCCTTGTCAGATGGATAATAAACAACACACTCTTTCCCCTTGTCAGATGGATACTAAACAATATACTGTTTCCCCTTGTCAGATGGATACTAAACAACACTGTTTCCCCTTGTAAGATGGATAATAAACAACACTGTTTCCCCTTGTCAGATCAAAACTAAACAACACTCTGTTTCCCCTTGTAAGATGGATAATAAACAACACACTGTTTCCCCTTGTAAGATGGATAATAAACAACACACTGTTTCCCCTTGTAAGATGGATAATAAACAACACACTGTTTCCCCTTGTAAGATGGATAATAAACAACACACTGTTTCCCCTTGTAAGATGGATAATAAACAACACACTGTTTCCCCTTGTCAGATGGAAACTAAACAACACAGTTTCCCCTTGTCAGATGGAAACTAAACAACACAGTTTCCCCTTGTCAGATGGAAACTAAACAACACTCTGTTTCCCCTTGTCAGATGGAAACTAAACAACACAGTTTCCCCTTGTCAGATGGATACTAAACAACACTGTTTCCCCTTGTAAGATGGATAATAAACAACACTGTTTCCCCTTGTAAGATGGATAATAAACAACACACTGTTTCCCCTTGTAAGATGGATAATAAACAACACACTGTTTCCCCTTGTCAGATGGAAACTAAACAACACAGTTTCCCCTTGTCAGATGGAAACTAAACAACACTCTGTTTCCCCTTGTCAGATGGAAACTAAACAACACAGTTTCCCCTTGTCAGATGGATACTAAACAACACTGTTTCCCCTTGTCAGATGGAAACTAAACAACACACTGTTTCCCCTTGTCAGATGGAAACTAAACAACACTCTGTTTCCCCTTGTCAGATGGAAACTAAACAACACTGTTTCCCCTTGTAAGATGGATATTAAACAACACACTGTTTCCCCTTGTCATATGAAAACTAAACAACACTGTGTTTCCCCTTGTCAGATGGAAACTAAACAACACACTGTTTCCCCTTGTCAGAGAGACAGTGAAATTCTACGCTTTGTCCTCCTGCAAGAATGACAGTAAACTACACATGATATCCATTTGTCAGAGACAGAACACTTTTATCCACCTATGAGAGCTTATTAATGTCGACTTGTTGGAGAAACACTTAACTTTACTGAATGTTTACTGAACGGAGAGACACTAATCTCCACTTTCAACTTTTTAGAGAGACTGTCAACTATACTTTATGTTCACTTGTTGGAGTGAGTGAGTGAGTGAATATGGTTTTACGCCGATTTAGCAATTTTCCAGCAATATCACGGCGGGCACATGTTGGAGAGACATTTACCAACATTTTATACCCATTTACAGGACACCAATGTCTACATGTTTACAGATAGAAGCTGAGATGCACTTAGATATCGCCTTGCAGTAACTGAATACACTTGTTATTCTTCAGGAGCTGAAGGAGTTGTGGTTATTGTTTCTATAGTGTTTATGTATTGTATTTCAGGGGGAGATTTCAAGGAAGATTGTTGGCAACTAAACAGATGATTGCTGCTGCGCCACCAAACCTGCCACCGATGTGTGTGTATATTGTTTGATGCTGGCTCTGAGGCTGTATAGTCTGTAAGTCACTGGAGTGTAAGTACAGTGGCAGGACATAACTACTCTTGCATGTACAGTGTAGAGATTCCTTTCATCAAACTGTGTGGTTACAGGGGTCCTTTCAACAAAATATTTTTGCATACATATAGATAGGTAAAGCCATTACCAATGAACTCTTGTTTCTTTATAACTAAATGTTGTATGATAAGGATATTGGCTGTGAGACATTTTTGACCAGTGTTAGTTCTAGTCTTGTTGACAACTTGTTGAAAATGATTTGTGTCTCAGGGTACTGTGATGTGTGAAGCAACACTTGCATCTGTAGGATGGGTGTAACATGGGTACTGATGAAGCAACACTTGCAGCTGTAGGATGGGTGTAACTTGGGTACTAATGTAGCAACACTTGCAGCTGTAGGATGGGTGTAACATGGGTACTGATGTAGCAACACTTGCAGCTGTAGGATGGGTGTGACATGGGTACTGATGAAGCAACACTTGCAGCTGTAGGATGGGTGTAACATGGGTACTGATGTAGCAACACTTGCAGCTGTAGGATGGGTGTAACTTGGGTACTAATGTAGCAACACTTGCAGCTGTAGGATGTGTGTAACTTGGGTACTGATGTAGCAACACTTGCAGCTGTAGGATGGGTGTAACTTGGGTACTGATGTAGCAACACTTGCAGCTGTAGGATGGGTGTAACTTGGGTACTAATGTAGCAACACTTGCAGCTGTAGGATGGGTGTAACTTGGGTACTAATGTAGCAACACTTGCAGCTGTAGAATGGGTGTAACATGGGTACTGATGTAGCAACACTTGCAGCTGTAGGATGGGTGTAACATGGGTACTGATGAAGCAACACTTGCAGCTGTAGGATGGGTGTAACATGGGTACTGATGTAGCAACACTTGCAGCTGTAGGATGGGTGTAACATGGGTACTGATGAAGCAACACTTGCAGCTGTAGGATGGGTGTAACATGGGTACTGATGTAGCAACACTTGCAGTTGTAGGATGGGTGTAACATGGGTACTGATGTAGCAACACTTGCAGCTGTAGGATGGGTGCAACATGGGTACTGATGAAGCAACACTTGCAGCTGTAGGATGGGTGTAACATGGGTACTGATGTAGCAACACTTGCAGCTGTAGGATGGGTGTAACATGGGTACTGATGTAGCAACACTTGCAGCTGTAGGATGGGTGTAACATGGGTACTGATGAAGCAACACTTGCAGCTGTAGGATGGGTGTAACATGGGTACTGATGTAGCAACACTTGCAGCTGTAGGATGGGTGTAACATGGGTACTAATGTAGCAACACTTGCAGCTGTAGGATGGGTGTAACATGGGTACTAATGTAGCAACACTTGCAGCTGTAGGATGGGTGTAACATGGGTACTGTGATGTGTGAAGCAACACTTGCAGCTGTAGGATGGGTGCAACATGGGTACTGATGTAGCAACACTTGCAGCTGTAGGATGGGTGTAACACGGGTACTGATGTACATTAATAGAGGGATGAGTGGGACTACTTCTGTCTACACACAGTCACACTAGTCCTGTCAGTATATGTGACAGGTTCTGCAACATGCTTCAGTAAAACTCTTCATCTGCAGCATTATTATAGTAGAGGGTACTGTTTGTACATTTGTCATGTAAACAACCAATTGTAACAAAAGCAAATTGGCAATCAAATCTGTTATTAATAAATACCAAATGATGACGTTATCTTTGGTTTACTAATGTAATGATTATAAATAAGATAAGAGATATATTGTGTTGCTCAATGTGATATATTACGTGTGTATCCTTGTGACAGTATTTGTGTTACAGGTATCTGTAATGTTGTGTCACCATCAGTGCCAAGTCTGTTTCTGCATAGCTGGTGAATCTCAATATATATATATACATACGTTCTCCTTTGCAATGTAAGTCAGGTTATTGTAGTATCAATTCGTTGTTGTCACTGACACTGCTTGTTACCTGTATGGCATACTTGAAGTGCACTACACCCAGTTTCTGTCTTCCCTGCGGCAGCACGTAGTTGTGGACACTCTTAGTGTACTGTTACAGTTTCTGGTAACAGGAAAGATGCCAAGAAGATTTGACAGTGCTGATATGACTAATACCCTCAAGGAGAGTTGAATAGTTAACATTGTTAATACCACTGTATGAAACACAATGTGTCACAATGTATAGATATATTTACTTGGTTTATATACCTTCTGGTGCAGGTCGCAGGACATCATCACTCAAAACTACAATATTTTGTTGTCTCTCTCTATGTTCCTCTGCTCATTTCAGTGTGGTTGAGTAGACATCTTCCAGAATAAGGGTCTAGTGATATAACAACTGCCTTTTTGTACTCTGAAGAATGTACCGGTAGTTACCTTCTCACTTCTAGTTCTACCCAAATAACATCTGTAAGTAGTTATCTCATGTCTTGCTCATTTTTCTTTAGAATACTCCTTACAGTTGGTTCAGAAGCATCTGCATGTGTCTCTTGTGGAGACTGTATGGCCTCAAGATTAACTTTACTAATATGAAGAATCGTGTTGTCCTTAACTTTGTTTGAGTAGTGTACTTAGACTAATACTGACACTCTGGGACACTGCAACACATCAATGGAACCAAATGAATTGCTGATGCTGCATATGTTTAACATACAAAACTTGGTATTTCTAAACTTTTTGTGTACCAGAAATTGTGTTTTCTGGTGAAAGATTTTTTTTTAAGGAAGCATAATGTTTTATTGTCCTCCATTAATGTGGCAATGTCAGTGATATTAAGTTCAGATTGTAGCAGGTTCACCAAATTGATTTTCATATGGATTAGCATTTACCCGATTTGGTGCAATATCTTTGTTTGTTTGACCAGGTTTTTCTCAGAACAAAACTACTGGTAGTTGCTTTATCTAATGAAACACTATTGAAATGATGTGGTTAAACGTGAACAAAGTCTCCAACATGTGCTCCACTTTGCACTGTTGTCTTCACTGTCCTGAAAGTAATCTGTTTGGCTGGATATGCTGTCACCGAACTTTGCCAGGGGAGACCTCAGTAGCAGGCTTCTCATGATACTGGTAATCTCTCTAACAACTCTGGTATCATACAGGACTGGTGATACCAGCAAATCCTTCAACCGATGTCACTTGCCTTGCTATCTTCCTCCTTCACATACAACTGTTACACGGCTGGTATACAGCTTCATAATCTTGACTGTCTGCAACTGCCTTACTCATGCTATGTTTGCCATCTTGACTGTCTGCAACTGCCTTACTCATGGTATGTTTGCCATCGTGACTGTCTGCAACTGCCTTACTCATGGTATGTTTGCCATCGTGACTGTCTGCAACTGCCTTACTCATGCTATGTTTGCCATCTTGACTGTCTGCAACTGCCTTACTCATGCTATGTTTGCCATCGTGACTGTCCGCAACTGCCTTACTCATGCTATGTTTGCCATCTTGACTGTCTGCAACTGCCTTACTCATGCTATGTTTGCCATCTTGACTGTCTGCAACTGTTTTACTCATGGTATGTTTGCCATCTTGACTGTCTGCAACTGCTTTACTCATGCTATGTTTGCCATCTTGACTGTCTGCAACTGCCTTACTCATGCTATGTTTGCCATCTTGACTGTCTGCAACTGCCTTACTCATGCTATGTTTGCCATCTTGACTGTCTGCAACTGCCTTACTCATGGTATGTTTGCCATCTTGACTGTCTGCAACTGCCTTACTCATGCTATGTTTGCCATCTTGACTGTCTGCAACTGCCTTACTCATGCTATGTTTGCCTTCGTGACTGTCTGCAACTGCCTTACTCATGCTATGTTTGCCATCTTGACTGTCTGCAACTGCCTTACTCATGCTATGTTTGCCATCTTGACTGTCTGCAACTGCCTTACTCATGCTATGTTTGCCATCTTGACTGTCTGCAACTGCTTTACTCATGCTATGTTTGCCATCTTGACTGTCTGCAACTGCTTTACTCATGCTATGTTTGCCATCTTGACTGTCTGCAACTGCCTTACTCGTGGTATGTTTGCCAACTTGACTGTCTGCAACTGCCTTACTCATGCTATGTTTGCCAACTTGACTGTCTGCAACTGCCTTACTCATGGTATGTTTGCCATCTTGACTGTCTGCAACTGCCTTACTCATGCTATGTTTGCCAACTTGACTGTCTGCAACTGCCTTACTCATGCTATGTTTGCCAACTTGACTGTCTGCAACTGCCTTACTCATGCTATGTTTGCCATCTTGACTGTCTGCAACTGCCTTACTGAGGGTCTGTTTGCCATCTTGACTGTCTGCAACTGCCTTACTGAAGGTCTGTTTGCCATCTTGACTGTCTGCAACTGTCTTACTGAGGGTCTGTTTGCCATCTTGACTGTCTGCAACTGCCTTACTGAGGGTATGTTTGCCATCTCGACTGTCTGCAACTGCCTTACTGAGTGTCTGTTTGCCATCTTGACTGTCTGCAACTGCCTTACTGAAGGTCTGTTTGCCATCTTGACTGTCTGCAACTGTCTTACTGAGGGTCTGTTTGCCATCTTGACTGTCTGCAACTGCCTTACTGAGTGTCTGTTTGCCATCTTGACTGTCTGCAACTGTCTTACTGAGGGTCTGTTTGCCATCTTGACTGTCTGCAACTGCCTTACTCGTGGTATGTTTGCCATCTTGACTGTCTGCAACTGTCTTACTGAGGGTCTGTTTGCCATCTTGACTGTCTGCAAGTGCCTTACTCATGCTATGTTTGCCATCTTGACTGTCTGCAAGTGCCTTACTCATGATATGTTTGCCATCTTGACTGTCTGCAACTGCCTTACTCGTGGTATGTTTGCCATCTTGACTGTCTGCAAGTGCCTTACTCATGCTATGTTTGCCATCTTGACTGTCTGCAAGTGCCTTACTCATGCTATGTTTGCCATCTTGACTGTCTGCAACTGCCTTACTCGTGGTATGTTTGCCATCTTGACTGTCTGCAACTGCCTTACTCATGGTATGTTTGCTATTGTCACTTTTGACAACTGTGCCACGCATGGTAGGTCATTATTCTTTCACCGTCCTCAACTGCCTAACATGTTTAATGGATGCTTTGAGGACAGTTAATCTTGATTAAAGTGGCAAGCACAAAAGATAATCACACATAAGAACTACTAGATGTTTATTTTTGCAGCATTCATATCATATGTTGGGGCTGGGTTTTATTTTTTCTATCATTTTGTACTGAATATTTAGCTGAATCATATGAACAATAATACCTTTACCATCTAATGTTTTATCAATATACCTACCATGTGTTTGTTACTCACAACAAAATGATGTCTGTATGCTACAGACTGACCATTTATTCCTTTCCTGACTTGATAATAATGAAACTTTAGTTTGTTGAGTGACGAATAGACAGGTCAGTCCCTAGCAATCAGGTCATGGCCGATTTACATCTTGCTACTCTGGCAAGCAACATCATTTATACCTAAAGACCTTGCTCTTATGACAACCAATACCGACCTGGTCATAATGAGGTATTACTGAATGCCACAGCCTACCAGATGTAGCAGAGGGCAATGGTTGTTTCATCCACCTTGGATGGTATTTATACTTGGCTCTAACTTTGTCATCTTTTTTTGTGTTTCCTGTCAACATATTTATCTACTATGTTATGTATACATCTTGCTCTTTATAATATCTACTCATTAAAGAATTGTAAAAACAACAGTAGTTTTGTTGTGCTTGAATAGGATGCAACTAGGTCAAGTGTAATCCAGAGAAACAAAATTTACTTGCTTGATTCTGAACCTATTAATTCTTATGACTACAAAAACAGTAAATACATATTCATAATACATGATTTCTGGCAGTCATTACACTATAAAAAAACTTCTGATTTTAACAGAAGTCCTCTTCACTGTCAACTATTCATAATTAGTTGTGGAGGTAATAGTATCATGCCTCCGGAAAATCTCACTTCTTTCCTGTGTGTACTATTGTCAACATCAGAAACAATCCAGAGTTGTCGCAGCACTTTATTTGGTAGTTGTGTTTGTATCAATAGTTATTATTCTGTGATACAACTGAAGATGAATTATTATTAGTTAACAGTTAAATCACGGTGTGCCAGCTTAATGTGGGAGGAAAGCCCAAAGTGATGCAGGTCTCAGACGTATACCACTTCGGTGAGACGCACGAGCATGGGTATGGTGCTGACAAACCTAGAAACATAATCGGGGCGAGCCGGGATTCGAACCTACAAACATAGTTTTCTGGCGAGCCCAACGGACGCAACTCTGCACAGCGAATCGCGCCGACTTAGACGACTGTACCACCCGTGCACACAGGTGGAGCTGTGTTGGATCCCATCACACATAGATATTCGTGGAAATGAAAAAGCACACACACTGGCGAAGCTAACTCTAGAGTGAGTGAGTTAGGTTTAACGCTGTTTTTTATCAGTATTCCAGTTATATCTCGGCGTTTGAGCTTAATATGGGAGGAAAGCCTGAAGTGATGCAGGTCTTAGACGTTTACCAGTTCGGTAAAACCCACGAGCACGGGTATGGTGCTGACAAACCTAGAAACATAATCGGGGCGAACCGGGATTCGAACCCACAATCCTAGGTTTCTGACGTGTCCGAGGGACGCAACTCGGCAGTTAGTTAGAATTGCAGTTAGATCCGCTTTCCGTCGTAGATCTCCTAAAGCCAAGTGATGCATCTGCGAAGGCGAAACTAACTCTATTTCTGAGAGAAGGACATGCAGCTACTCGAACATATATAAACAGAACAACCAAAGACAAAATTGATAATCATATCAAAATACGAAAATAGGAATCATATCTATATGAAAACAGAAAGTTTATGAATACAAAAACTCGAAATAGATATGTCTACCCTACTCGCACACACGAGTCCCAAAGAGGGGCAGGTCAGCCGAAAGTGCAAAGGCAGAAGGTGACCTCTTAAACACTTAAAGCAACACCGACATCGACACGTTTTATGATAACGACAGAGAGATAAAAAAAAAAAGACGCAGGCAGGGTTAGCATTATTTCCTTGGTTACAGTTAATAGTTAATTATAAGTTGACATTTTTAAAAAGTTTTAAATAACATTAAAGATATATTGGTGCATATCAGACTAGCAATTAACAATATAACCGTGATGTAATACAACCCAAAAGGAACACTTTATAAGGCGCTGTTTTAACTGTTTATTCTGCATTTCATGATGTCAGTAATTCATTTATTCATTCCAAAGAATGAATTTATATCACAAATTTGATTTTATGATATGAACTATTTATTGATATCGCAAAGTCGATGTTAAGATACTAGTAAAAGAATTTATTGTATCAATGTATTTTATCATATAAAGAATCGGATTTGTGATATTTGAAATATCAAAAGTGTTTTTTATATCACAAATTGAGAGAATTACTTTTGTTAGAGTGTTTTGGCAATCGGTTCTAGCATATTGGTAGATATATATTTATTGGCGCATCTTCTACTGGTAACCTCCCAGTGTGGCCACCGACCTGCCTTAGCCTCACAGAACACATTGTCCAGACTGGGAATTGGATGAAGTCACAGTGTCCACACTAGGACAACTGATCGCAATTATTAAGTAACTGTAAGGAGGGATTAGCAACTAATTCTGTACTGATAAAGACAATTTCTGTCCTGTCCAGAAATGTTTTTAAAGCATTTTTAAGTATTGCGGTTTAAGATTTTTTTAGCAGAAAATTAGTCTGTAATAAATATCCCCACTTATGTCCGTCAGTCACATTTCACAATGGATGCTAGAGGTGACATTGTAGCTGGTAAACATCACGGGGTAGACATCTTGCTTGATGGAATTAGATACAACAAACGGAAGGACAATAAGAACAACTTGGGTCCATTTTTGAACATTTCGTGTAGATGTCGTAACTTTTACATATGTAATCATATTCAGGTGATGTCTCTGCATGTATGTTATGGCAAACTCTTTTTGTTATTTAATCAATTTTCCTTACTTACTGCATGCTCTACTTGAGACGTTTTATGTTTACATGTCACCATAAATTATAGTTATTGCTTGTAAGCTCAACACAATTGACTAATACTCCAAAACACCCGATTGTAAAACTATTAATGTACTTTAAAAAGAATTCATTATTGTAAATAGCAAACTGATGTATCAAGGATTGAGTAGAAGATATATTTTCAGTGTATCCTCGATAAAATGAATCAATAATGACCACGTGAATAGTTCCTCATGGTATTATATAAGAGAGCTACGCGATAAATCGCAAACAACAATGATGAACGAAGCGTGGTTTATTTCATGATAAAACATTGTCATTTCTGGAGATTCAACTTGAGGTCGTAATTAGGACGACGATATCTTTGAGAGGGGAGTGTCTATTAAGTTGCTCACCATAGATGTAACTGAACAGCGCATATGAACGCAATGGCCGAACGATCGCACCCAAAAGTGGGAGAAATATGACAATCGGTATTGGGAGAAAACGTGCAGATAATCGACGTGAAAACTGAGAATACCCAACTTAACACACACACGCACGCACGCACGCACACACACACACTCACACTCACACTCACACACACTTGTACATAAAATGGAGTTGTCCGATATTGCCGAGGTCGGATTGTAGTCGGGGAGTCATCATTACTTAAATACTAGTAAATGTTTTTTAAATCTTGCACAATTTATTGACATTCTTAAAAAGGCTGTGCATATGTTGATATCTCATAAAAGAAGTAAACGACGAGTGGTATATTCTCCCAGCAGTGTTTCATTGAACGATAAACAACTTCCGCTCTTTGTTTATTTATTAAATATCTTTAGCCTTTGTCTCTATGACCTTAGACCCATTTTGGAATAGTTCGTGTTGATAGATATCGTAACATTTACATATGTTATCATATTCAGGTGATGTCTCTGCATGTATGTTATTACTTTGTTACACAGTGGTTTTTGTTTGGTGATATGATCTCCGTTATCTGTCTTCAAGATAAGCCATCCCCAGCCCTCACAGCATAAGGACCAGCATAGACTAACATTTAGTCTCTGAAATCTTATATTACACAATATCCTTCTTGACTCTAAAAATAAAAATAAAAGCTAGCTTGAGCTGGCTAGACTTGCTTTTGTATGCATTTCTAGATTATTATTTTTTCATAAAATAAAAATATTCCACAGTCATGGTGCAGGACTAGGTCCAGCACTGAGCCTGTTGATGGTTTCATTTTGTAACTTGAAACTCCACAATCTCTGCTCAGATCCGAGCACATTCTGTCCACTGGAGGATAGTGTTATGGCAAACCTCTTCCCATATTTAATCGACTTACCTTCTGCCTATTCCGGGCATGTGGAACATAAGGTTTAGGATTACAGATGTATCACTGTATATATTGTATTAATATTACTATTTACCATGTTACTTACTACACGCTCTACATGAGGCGTTTCATGTTTACATGTCACCATAATTTACAATTATTTAAGCTCAACACAATTGGCAACTACTCTAAAACACATGATTGTAAACTAGTAATGTATGTTGAAAAGAACACATATTGTAAATGCCAAAATGATGTATCAATGATCGGGTAGAAGATATATTGAAAGTAGTGCGTAGAAGTTATTCAACAGACCTGTGAAAACAGTACTACTTTTACCTAATATTGTACATTTTTACCTCTCCTGGGGGCCATTATGCAGCGGCCATCTTATACATAATCCCGCGCTCACGTCTACTGATCAATGCAGGCGGTACATTTAGTAGAACTCTCTCTGCCTCAAATGTATCCTCCACGATATAACCTACTCTCATTAAATAAATGCTGTTCTTTCTCAGCGTCATGACTTTCGCGAGACAAAGAGACCCAACCATCATTAAGTAATTCGGGTCCAGTAAAAACAATGATCCGCCAAGCCTCATTAACATAATCACTGGACGTCGTACTACAGACGTTTAATGTCAAATCACACAATCTTTTCAATGACAATAACATTTTCCAGGATCATGTGTTCTCTTAACACCATCGCAAAAGATCTTGCAGAAGCCAATGGTCCTATAAATAAGATGGATCTGATTGATCACAACGGTACTCATATTTTCCAACAAAATTACATCTAAAAACAAGACGTCAAAAAGTACATATCATAAAATGTGTTTTAACACTTTTCGTCAGGATATCAAAACTCGCTCTCCTTGTTATTACCTCCAATTTCAGCTTAACATGGGTCCTCCTTTGATCCCTCTTAAATGAGTGTGTCCCGCGTTGCACACGGTTGGCGATCGGGGTGCACACGGTATACGCATTTCTGTGTTTTTCTTGTAATTTGAGAGTCCCGGTATAGCAATATCCCGTGTTTACTGTAGCGTGACCAGTCTTACTGTAGCTTCACGAAAGCGAAGAGATTTTAGAGTTGATTATGGCTAGGTTTCGCTCTTCCGGCCCAGAACCACCAAGGTGAACCGTGACCAACGGGGTCACATGTTGTACTGCAGAAGCATAGACACGCGGGCATTTCAGACATTTCATTTGCTTATTTTTAAATGTTTGTTGCTTTCACATTTTCTCAGTATTCAGAAACCAGCAAAGAAAAAGGCGATATGAAATATATACACACTAGTACAACAGCTGAAACTGTCTGCAACACTAGTTCGAACCACGTGCCCGCGGCAGAAAGAAACGTTCGTAGTTGCA